TTGAATTTTAGCATTTTAAAGTTACAAAAAGCTAATTAACCAAACACTTATATTGATTTTTTAACCAAGTCAAATAGCTAAATAATGGTCAAATAAATCAAAATTGGTCTATAGACTAACTATTTTACCAAACAGGGCCATATAGTCGGTTGGTTGAATTAGTATTGTTGGGCAGAGGCCGGTAAAAGTAAGTTCAACAATGGGTAGTTAGAGAATTGTTGGGTGGAGGATTTGGAGGGCCAAGTAGGAAAATGTGACGGGAAGTAAAGTTGGATTTTCGCTACGAGCTAGAACTTTTGGTGTAGTGGTAAGCGCCTGATCTAGCAAATGGTATGAGAGCCAACTCATGGTTGCGCCTTTGGCCTTTGCTACAAGCTATAGCTTTTGGCATAGCAGTGCTAAACGCTTGATCCTAACAAGTATGATTGTTGATTTCGTATTTAAGTTAGGTTTTCTAGTAGACAATTTATAGATATGAATGCTAGTGATGTTTTATGCTGATGGCTCGAACTAGTAGTTGCCCTCACTGGGATTTTAATTTGATGCTCAAAAAATAACAAAATCTGTAAACTTAGTGCCATTAAGCCCCATACACCCTAGTGGAACTTTTGAACTATATATGTTAATCTTGGTCTGAATCATTGTTTGGATTTAATCTTTAGTCTCACTTATTGTTATGATGTTATTGCAATGGAATTAATTCAGGAGTAGCTAATTTAGTAAGCGGGACGCTGACCACTTGGTATTCGAGTCTACTAGTTGCGTCGCTGTGGAAATGGGATGGGAAGAAGCACACCACATATCGGGACCTTGCTCGAAGTATTTATGGTTGGTATTTTCTCAATGTTGTTTGGTTTTCATGAATGAGGCCATCATTATATGGAAATGGTGAGGCTTATCTTTACATTGTTTGATTTTGTTGATATTTAGCTGGTCAAACCAACTAACACAATCAGCTATCAGCTAAACCAATCAGCTATTAGCTAATTGCCAAACGCCTCCGTAATTAGTCTTATCTGAAACACTTAATTATCTGGTCATCTTTGTCTTCCACTTTAGTGTGCAAGCATAAGTGCAAAACACTTCTTTTCTTGCCCATAATCTGTCTTTTCTGAACTTGAAGGATCATGGGGTTTCTGGTCTGTTGCATTTTTTCAGCAGGTGGCTTCCCTTGGCAATAATATTGCCATTCAGATTGCTGCTGGAAGCAGCCTTAAGGTAACTTTGCATCTTTGTCTTTTGTTACGATCAAACGTTTACAACTACACTGCCGCCACCACATTTTCGAGAGGCAGGGTGCTGAACTTGGTACTTCAGGCCCTTCACCGATCTCCGCCCAACGATTCTCTACCAGCCTTAACTACACACCCTCTGATACTACTTGTCAGATCAAGCGTTTACCACTACGCCAAAAGCTATAGCTCATAGCGAATGCTCAATTTTATTTTCTTATAGGCCACCACATTTTCAAGAGGCAGGGTGCTGGATATGGCCCTTCAGACCTCCACCCAATAATTTGTCATTAGTAGATGTGCTACGACTAAATGCTAATCTTTACTTTCATGCTCTTTGCAGGCAATATACAAGTACTATCACCCCGATGGAAGCCTAACTTTGCAGCATTTCATCGTTTTCTTTGGAGCTTTTGAACTCTTTTTATCTCAGCTTCCAGACATTCATTCACTGAGATGGGTAAACGCTCTGTGCACGTTAAGCACCATTGGTTTTGCTGGTACAACCATCGGTGTATCAATATATAATGGTAAGTTACAGCGATCATTTCAATTTTCAAGTCCGGCCTTATTGGAAAACACCCTGGCTCGAGTTGTTCGTTTTAAAATTTAATCTTTCTAGGAAAGAAGGTTGATAGAAGGTCAATCAGACATGATGTTCAGGGAAGATCATCTTCTAAAACATTCAAGGCCTTCAATGCTCTTGGGACAATTGCCTTTTCATTCGGAGATGCAATGCTTCCAGAAATACAGGTAATAAATCGTATAATCACTCATTCTTTCTGGGATGCAAGTATAGAAAATTTTCACTGGAGTGACTGGTCTCCCTGTCAAATTCAATCTTTTTCCAGAGTACAGTGAGGGAACCTTCCAAAAAGAACATGTATAAGGGTGTTTTAGCGGCATATAGCATCATCGTTTTGTCTTACTGGCAATTGGCCTTCTTTGGGTATTGGGCATTTGGTTCAGAAGTTGAGCCTTATATTGTAGCTTCGCTTACTTCTCCAAAGTGGACAACCGTAATGGCCAACATTTTTGCAGTGATTCAAATTTCAGGATGCTTTCAGGTATTACAACTTTTTTACATTTTTTTTGTTGAGCCACTATCCGAGGGTGTGTACTAGGTAAACCCTGTCTTGTGATCTTAGCTGGCAAGGACCACAAAAGGTAAACCAGCCTAAATTGCTCATAGCTCACTGGCTTAAACCGAGGGTTGGGATTCAAACTCGTTGCGTTACAAGTTTGTATCCTTAGCCATCTTGGCTGGCTAAAGATACTTATGAACCCATGACCTTTGGCATGACTCTAATACGAAATTGAAACATGTACTCCATCTCAACTAAAAGTCTAAGCTGATAGTTTGATTGCCCATTTATGAAAATCTTTGTATGTTAGATATATTGCAGGCCAACATTTGCATATTTTGAGGAGAAAAGCAATGGAAGATGGAGTGTCCACAAGTATATGATCCGGCTCGCTTTCACCACTCTCTACATGGGGCTAATAACTCTGGTAGCTGCAGCAATGCCATTCTTCGGGGATTTTGTTTCCATATGCGGAGCTGTTGGGTTTACGCCGTTAGATTTCGTGTTCCCTGTGTTGGCACATCTGAAAGCCGGGAGGTCGAGTCGCCGGAATTCAAAGCTCCGGCTGCCGGTAATTGCCATCAACGTTGCTATCGCCATCTGCTTCTCAGTTGTTGCTGTTCTGGGTTGCATTGGTGCAATCAGGTTTATCATATTAGATACTAAAACTTACTCATTCTTTCATGATATGTAACCAACTAGGCATGGCTCTACCAAATTTTACTAGGACCATGAGCTTTATTTTAGTTTTATTTTAATAATGCTGAACTGCTGAAGTATCATTTTAATTACACTACATGTATCCGCTATCTAGTTTTATTATATACACACAATAGATTCATTATAACAAGATTAAATTATCATTTTAATTACATTTCATGTATCCGCTATCTAGTTTTATTTTATACACACAACAGATTAATTATAACAAGATTAAAGTATCATTTTCATTTTAAAATATATTTATTATTCACCATGTCTGACGGTGAAAAATCTGAGTAAATCTATTTTTTTTTTTATACCTACAATAAGTTTATTATAGCAACACTAATGCATTATTTTAATTTTATCATATGTTCATTTGACAATATAAATATCGCTATGAATTTTATTATTCAATTTCATTTTATACACATAATATGTTAATTATAATAATACTAAAATATTAAATAAATATCGCTATGAATTTTATTATTCAATTTCATTTTATACACATAATATGTTAATTATAATAATACTAAAATATTAATTTAATTTTACTACAGATTTATTTGATAATATAGATATTTTTTTTAACTTGAGCTAACCCAATCTTGTGAATCACAAGATAACGTGAAAAATAAAAAAAGTTTTTTTTTTTTTTGCTTGCCAGGGTGGTTGCAACAAGGTTGAAATGTGGCAGCTTTTGTTCTTTCAAAATTTTATATATTTTTTTAAAAAATAATAATTTTTAAGTGTGATATGAGATTAGGACTCACTTTTAAAATTGTGTTGAAGTTATATGGATGTAACAAAAATAATAAGGAAATTTTAAATTTGATAATATGAAAATAGAGCTCATTTTTTAAAGTGAGATATTCTTATAATGGTCCCCCGTATATTTGGCATGGCTCTTGTGTTGTATTCTATCCTGCGCCCTGCGGCCACGTTATCCACCCTCTACTACATTTTATTAAAACAGTTGGTAATACGGAGTATATTTTATCTATTTCCTGAAATGGGGACTTGAAAAAATAATAAATGTAAATAATATGGAGTTAGGATGTGGCCTACCAAATTTCACCAATTCTGGTACACCTATTTTTACAATATATTTTTAAAAACTTCCAATTTTATTTTACTTAATTAAACATTTCGAAATAATATTAAAATAATTTTATTCTAGGAACTTTAAACATTTTGAAATAATATTTAATTAAATAAAATTTGTTTGTAATAAGTTAAAAAATTATGTTATAAGGCTCCTAGAATAAAATTAATTTTTTGAAATTTTTTCCAAATGTTTAATTAAATAAAATAAAAATACATATTAATATTAATAAAAGTAAAGTTGTTTGAATAAAATTAATATTTTAACATTGTTTCTAAAAATGCAATAAAAGGCATGTACTATGTTTTTAAAAAATAAAAGGCATATACTATGTTTTTAAGGACAAAAACACGCCATTATGTTTTGCTACCAACTAGATTCGAACCCAACCACAACTCCTTTTAAATTTTAATTAATATTTTTTAATTTTATTTAAAAACTTAAATATTAAGAAACAAAAGCCAAGCACCTCGAGATCGAACCTCTGTGGCCTAATAAATTATAAAATTTAAAAACAAAAAAAAAAAAAAAAAAAAAAAAAAAAACAAAACGTTCTCTCTACAACAAGCCCTGAGTTTTGTAATTACTAAAGGATTTGATAATAGTAGGATAATAAAGTTTTGTTGTAATTACTAAAGGATTTGATAATAGTAGGATAATAAAAATATACAAACACACATGATAACAAGTCTTAAAACTCATAATAGAGTGCAAAGTCTCCAACCAAACACCACCAAAATATTTATATTTATATAATTAATAATGAAGCAAATGGATTGAATTTATTTTGGATTAAATAATATTTGGATTTTGGAGTGTTATTGCTACCAAATTAAAAAACAAAAAAAAATATCTGGACTATTTCTTTACTTGGAAGAATCAAGAAATGAAGGCGCTGGCTTTCTTTTTCTAAGCATAGGGTTTTGGGGTTGTCGTTTCTCTCAAGTCTCAACTTCTTTTTCAATTCTTCTTCTTCAATGCAGGGTGGGGGTGGGGGTAGGGTTGGGTATCAGTACGATTCTTTCCTGTCGAGTTCAGCCGCTGCCGACATCTCCGGCCGGGCCCCACCCACGGCGCTATCCTCCTTCGCTCCTCTGCGGCCATGGCGCGAGCTCTTCGCCCGCCCATCCTTGTACTCCATTCCGCGCACCTTCGCCGATGTCACCGCTCGCCTCCGCCGGAATCTCAACTATTTCCGCATGAACTACGCCCTAACGATGCTCATCATACTCTTCCTCAGCCTCCTATGGCACCCGCTCTCCATGATTGTCTTCTTAGTCCTGTTCGTCGCCTGGTTCTTGCTCTACTTCTTCCGCGACGGACCGCTCGTGATATTCAGTCGCACGGTCGACGATAGGGTTGTGATGGCGGTTCTCAGCGTGCTCACGGTGGTCTGCTTGGTGTTCACTCGCGTATGGCTCAACGTTCTGGTGTCGGTTCTGATTGGAGCGGCGATCGTTGCTTTACACGCGGCGTTTAGAGTCAACGATGATCTTTACCTCAACGAAGATGAAGCTACGCAGGGCGGATTGCTCTCTTTCGCCGGTGCTACCACGCAACCCGCTCGAACTAGGGTTTGAAATCTTCTAGTCCAGTGAAGTGATTTTCTTCGCATTTCAAGTCCAGAAGGCTCAAATGCTAGGAGTGAAGTTGTAATTGTAAGCACTCATTGTAGATACAGTATTTTGAATGCACAAACTTACATTTCAAGTGATTTGATTACAGATCAACTCAATAATGATTCATCTCAGTGTTCAAAATTTATCCAATAGAGAAACTCATCTGTTTATTACATATCAACATGATAGTAACAATATCAAATGCATCTCTAAATCATTGAGGTTAGAGTACAATTGGAATTTGGAATAGAAATACACTACAAACCATTGTAGAAACACATTCCAGAGCAATTCAAGATGCCAGATCCTACCTTGCAATTTAACATGCTGGGCATGTGGTCAAGTAAGACATATTTTATGCCCAATGGTATGTTCTTGCTCGAATTGGTAGTTACCCTTGCTGGAATTTTGATGCACAAAAAATAACAGTGTCTGCATACTTGATGCCTGGTGGGTATTAAGCCCATAACCCTAGTGGAACTTTTGAAGTATGCTAATCTTACTCTGAATCATTGTTTGGTCTAATCTTTAGTGTCACTTATTATTTCTCTGGTGAATGGTTATGATGTTATTTGATATGGAATTAATTCAGGAGTAGCTAGTTTAGTAAGTGGGACACTGATCACTTGGTATTCCAGTCTAGTAGTTGTGTCACTGAGGAAATGGAATAGTAAGAAGCACACAACATATCGGCACCTTGCTCAAAGTATTTATGGTTGGTATTTTCAATATTGTGTTGTTGACATTGTTCAGTTGTCATAAATGATGCCATCATTGTCTGGAAATGGTGCTTTCTTCTCTGAATCTGTACTCCAACTCGACTATGAATTTATGACTACTGGTGTATTCATAGACTTGTGTGGATTCAATTGTAAGATTTCTTTTTAATCAACAAGAGGCTTATCCTAACATTGTTTGGTTTTGTTGATACTGCAGTTCTATAGCCAGTCCAGGTGACAGTGATATATTTTGATATAACTACAGTCTTATCTGAAATACTTAATTCTGCTCATCTTTGTGTTCCACATCAACATGCAAGCATAAGTGCAAAATGCTTTACATGTTTAAGTGAGTGAGTGCTTCATGCGAATTGTTAGTGTCTACTGTTCTGTGGATTTGTATATAAATGAAAGTTGCTGATGTTCAGTGCGTCTTGCCTATAATCATCTTTTTGATTTTGAAGGATCATGGGGTTGCTGGTTTGTTGCATTTTTTCAACAAGTGGCTTCCCTTGGCAATAACATTGCCATTGCCATTCATATTTCTGCCTATTCTGTCTTTCTCTGTGATATCATTCTTTTCTTCTGTTCCCTAACCTTAAGTGATTTAACTTCATGTTATCTCAATGATTTGTCATCAGTAGATGCGGTATGACACTTTCATGCTCTTTGCTGGCAATATACTAGTACTATCACCCTAATGGGAACCGAACTTCACAGCATGAACTTGTTTTTATCTCAGGCTCTCAGCTCCCAGACATTCATTCACTGAGATGGGTAAATGTGGTAAGTGACAGCACCCTTAACATCATTTTGAGTCCTTAGAAAACAGCCTGGGTAGAGTTCTTTCTTCTAAAGTTTAGTCTTTCTAGAAAAGGAGGTTGATAGAAAGGTTAATCTCATTTTCTTTCTAGAGCATTCAATGCTCTTGGGAGAATTGCATTTTCTTTCAGAAATGCAATGCTTCGAGCAATACAGGTAAGATGTGTAACCACACAGGTCGTTGTCATTTTCTTTCCAATATCAGTATAGAAAACTGCAATTGGATGTGTAACCCCTTTGTCTTACCGGCAATTAACTTTCTTTGGGTATTGGGCATTTGGTTTAGAAGTTCAGGTTTATATTGTAGCTTCTCTTACTTCTCCAAAGTGGACAACCGAATTGGGCAGCATCTTTGCAGTGATTCAAATATTACAATGTTTTTACACTTGTGAAGCTTAAATTGGAAGAATTGTTAGTGATTGTCTGAAACTTATGAAAGTTGCAGTGGCCTGTTATGTTAGATCTACAATATGTGGTTTCTTTGCACAATTAATCCTTTGTCAAGAACATCTCAAGAAGATCATTTGCACATTACTTAAATATCCGATCTTCTGAATCATTATATCTTAGATGTATTGCAGGCAAACATTTGCATGTTTTGAGGAGATGCTGCCATGCCATCATCCCGGTCTATTCCGGCTCCCTTTCACCTCTCTCTACATGGGGCTAAAAACTCTCGTAGCTGCAGCAATGCCTTTCTCTGGGGATTTTGTTTCTATATGCGGGGCCATTGGGTTTACACCATTAGATTTTGTGTTGGCACATCTAAAAGCCCGGGAAGGATTCGGTGCAATTCAAGGCTCCAGCTGCCGGGTTAGCATTGATGCAATCAGGTTTATCATATTAGATACCAAGACTTGCTCATTATTTCATGATAATTGGTATGTAGTCATTCCATTCTATTCTATAACCACGTTATTCACTCTCTAGTACGATATTACATTTTATTAAAGCAGTTGGTAGTACGAAGTATATTTTATCAGTGTCCTGAAGTGGATATTTGAACAAATAAATGCAAACAAGCGTAGTTGGGATATTGCTTTCTGGTCTAAATTTCACCATCTGTGGTCCAGCTTGCTGAAAGTATTTAACTATTCCCCCCCATCCCTCTCTCCCCTTCTTTCCCCCTAAAATTCTCTCTTAATATACATCTCATATGACAATAATCTTTAGGCACAAGTGTCAAATAGGCCCATCAATTACTACGAAGTGCTCAATTCTCACCATAAATTAAATTAAGTGTCAAATAACTCTATCTACCAGCTAAATTCATTCAATTGACCTTTTTTACAGGTTACCAACATGTTGCCTATTTAATTATTAAAATAAATAATTAAAATTTTTCAAAAAAAAAAAAAATTTAAAAATAATTTGAAATGGCAGCCACCGGCTGTCCGGCGAGGACAGCCGGTGGCTGTTCTTTTTTTTTTTTTTTTTTTTTTTTTTTAATTTAATTTTTTTAATTATTTAATTATTTATTTTAATAATTAATAGGCAACCTGTTGGTAACTTGTAAAAAAGGCCAATTGAACAAATTTAGCTGGTAAATAGACCTATTTGACACTTAATTTAGTTCATGGTGGGAATTGAACACTTTGCAGTAATAAATGGGCCTATTTGACACTTGTGCCTAATCTTTATTTATGAGTAAATTTCAATTTTGGTCCACTGATTATTTAACTTATGTTAATTGCAACATTTGACTTTCAAAAATGTTAATTTAGTACCTTAACTATATCATTCTTATCAATTTTGGTCACGCCGGTCAAATGTGACCGGAAAATTTTAAGTCAACAATTGAACTGAATTGAAAGGGGTAAATTCGTTTTTTTTTTTGTGTTTAGTCTGATTTGGGAAAGTGATTGTTGACCAAAACTCCGGTGCTCCCCCGCTACTGCTACTGTCACTGTTTCTCGAGCTGTTGGCGGCCGATTTCTTTGATTTCTTGTCGTCTTTGTTGAGACCCAAAAGCGCTCTTCTCCTTTTGCGGCTTCGAATTCTGTAGGCATTGCATAGCGACTGCATTCACACAACCCGAAACGAGAATCAGTTAAACAGAAGCCGAGAAATAATAAGAAGATTAATTATGGCTGGAAGGAATGATCATGACCTAGGTGTGAGCTTCCATTTTCTTGCATTTCTCGATGATGCACGGCATTTCATACTGGAAGGTTCATTTTTATTTTATTTTATTTTATCACGTTCAGCTTGTTTCTTACTGCAATTTGATAGGGTAATTTCATAAGGATTGGGTTCCTCTCTTTGGCCGGAAACATGTAGCTCGTCGGAGAAGAAAGGAAACAAAGGTAAAATGTGATCAGACATAACATGAAATGACGAATTTGCTCTTTTCATTTAAGATTTTTTGGTCACATTTGACCGGTAATTTGGCCAGCGTGACCAAAATTGATAAGAATTGCATAGTCAAGGTACTAAATTAACATTTTTTAAAGTTAAGTGTTGCAATTAACACAAGTTCAATAGTCAGTGGACCAAAATTGAAATTTACTCTTTATTTATTTTAATTTTAAATATAGTTAACTTTTTTCTTTTTCATTTTTTTTTTTACATAAGATGGATGGGAACACCCCCAGCAAAACGACCTAGACCTCTACTTGGCAGTAGTTATATTGTGCACCCTTGTTTAAAAATTGTATCTCTTCATTTTTTATTGGGAAAATGGCACTTTTTCCCCCTATGTTATATGCTTATAGCACTTTTTCCCCCTGAGTTATTCATGCATCCACATTTGCCCCCTCAATTATTATAAAAGTGACGATTTTTCCCCCTGATAATATTAAATAGACATTTTTACCCTTAAAATACATATTTTATTTATTTCTCTTGTTCAACAAATTATTGTTTATACGTAGGGATGGCCACGGTTCGGTTCGAACTGAACCGAACACTATAGCAATCAAATAAAAAAAAAATCGGTTATGATTCATAACATAACCCAATATTTGGGTTTCCGTTTATTAAAATTGTGAAGTGGGAAAAAATAGATTCTGAACCGTGAACCAGAGGTTCAAATCGGAACAACTACTAGCAATAGCTTAAAATTAGAATTATAATATTTGTAAATAGTGTATGTTTTTTTCATATTTATATTGACTCTCACATATAAGTATATATAATCGCGATTTGGTTTTTATTTTGAATCGTTGTTTCACAATTTCTGATCCAATTTGAACTGTTGGTTCAAACTTTATTTTAAAATTTTATTTTTTTATTTTTAAAGTATTCTAAATTCAACAATTAATGTATTTTATTTTTTCAAATTGTGGTTATAAATTGTTGGAGAAGTAAAATAAAGGAAATATTTATTTTAAGGGTAAATATGTCCATTTAATATATCAGGGGAAAAAATTGCCACTTAAATAATATAGGGGGAAAAAGTGCTATAAGTATATAACACAGGGGGAAAAAGTGTCATTTTTCCTTTTTTATTTTTCTTTTTGTATAAGTAAAAATTAATGTATAAAAAGATATATCATTTAAAAGCTTAATTGAAATCTTTTAAATGACATTCATTTGAATAGATCAATAGATGAGAGTTGCTAAAAAATAACATATGAGACTTGCTGAAAAATAAGGCGAAAAGAAACATGGTTATTTTTATAATAAATATAGCAAATTTGAAAGTTAACAATAATTATAAAATGAGAGAATAACACTTTTGCCCTCTTAAATATATGCTTATAGTGTTTTTCACTTTGAATTATTCATGTATTCACAACATTCCCTTTAATTATTTTGAAAGTGGTGATTTTTTTTTTCTTCTCCGGCATTTTTACCCTTAAAAATAAGGGTATTATAATCATTTCAAGTCACTTTCCTTTTCCAATAATTTATTACTTACATGTGGGAACCTGAATAAAAAAATAATTTATTGCTTACATGTGGGAACCTGAAAAAAAAAAAACAGATATCATTTGTAAATATTATAATTATGCTTTTAAGCTAATGTTAATAATAAAATAAAACTTAAACACAAATTTAGTACATTTGCAAATATTATAATTATTATTTGTGTTTTAGTTTTAACTTTGTTATTAGAATTAGGGTACAATTATAATTATAATATTTGTAAATGATGTCTATTCTTTTTCACATTTATTTTAATTTCACATATACACAATAATTTGTTAGAGAAGGAAAGTAAATGAATTACCTATTTAACCTTGTTTTTAATCGTCAAAATGTGTATTTAACATAGGAGGGGGAGGGGGGTGTTTTTTAATATAATAAATTGTGGCAAGGTATGTTCAAGGGTGTAGGAAGTAGGAACTAAGCTCAATTTGCTTACTACCTATACCCTTAGACAAATGGTCAAACAGAGAGGATCAACCATTGTTTAGAGACATACTTAAGATGTATGACCTTCCACAAGCCTAGACAGTTGTTAAAACGGTTGTCATTTGCTAAGTTTTGGTATAATATCAACTTTCACATTTCCCTACAACTCACACCATTCCATGCTCTCTATTGATTCTATAAAAGGAACATAGTCTCACCCTCAGTTAGTTTGGTTGCATTATAGATTTATAGACAAGAGATGATAGTCCATTTGAGAGATAATCTCAAAATCGAATAAAACACTATGGGGAAGATTTGAGAGAGTACTGTAGGAAAGAGATTAGATTTACTTGAAGCACAACTCTTTAGACAAATCACAGTAGCTATGAGATCTAATGTGAAGTTGCTAAACAAGTTTTAGACTTTTAGGGACCTTAATTTGTACTTGAGAGGATTGGCAAAGTAGCTTACAAATTACAATTGCCTCTTGGAACCCTGATTCACCTTATTTTTCATGTTTTCCAATTCATAGGACCAGAAATCAGTGTGCAAACTAAACCACCAGCAACATGTACGTCCTAATGAGCGAATTCTAGCTATTTTAGGAAAAAGGTTGTTAAAGAATAAAAACGCTATTGCTAAGGTGGAAATATTAGTTCAATGAGCAAATTTACCCCCAAAGGAAGCTACATGGAGAATTATTACCATGTGAAGAAACAATTTTCTCATTTTGATCCTTGGAGACAAGGATCTATAGAGAATAGAGTTGTTAAAATAGGCTTAGCCCACTGGGCTAGCTCTCCTGTCCCTAAAAAGGGGCAAGGCATGCTCTAAAATTTATGACCCGCTAAATTGACAGGTTTTTTAGCACGTTCTACCAAATAGTGGGCTTTGGCGAGGCAGGCTTGACGGGCCCACCGGGTTCGCATTGTGAGAGAGAGTTGCGAACTAGCAACTAGCATTCCCATGGGAACCTGCGAACTTCTAAAGGAATGCAATATAAGTTCTAAATGAATGCGCAATAACTACTCTTAGGCATGCCTGAAGAATGCACACGGGCGTGTGCATTCGTGTAGGATATTCTGTGCATTCCTGTAGTAGGTGACGTTTATTCGTGTAGTAGCCGCGGAGCTAGAGTAGTTGTGCATTCATGTAGTACTTAACTGTCCACATGTGAAGATTGGTTCGCACCTGAACGAGACCCAAATGGAGAGCCTGCCCTACCAGCCCGCTTTGACGGCCAACGACTCTAATTGAAGGGAAGAGAGTGGTAAATTCAGTTATGAGGGTAGCACAGCCATCCCACTTGCGCTGTGGAGTTTGTTATCAAGCTTTGTCATATTCCATTTCAAATTGTATTTTTTTGAGTTTGTGGATGGTTGGATTATGATATGCTATTGAATGAATCTCTTATTCCTTTCTTCATGATAGTTGGATTAGGCTGTGACATGATTCATCTCAGTGATCAAAATGTATACAATGGAGAAAATCCTCCGTTTATTACTTCAATAACAAATTCATATCAATATGACAGTAACAATATAATATCAAATGCATCCCTAAATCGTCAAAATTAGGGCACAATAAGAATACAAATACACTACAACACTATGAGCTACTCAATATCTTTCTGTGAACACTAAAAAGATAACTGAAAGGTATGCAATAAAAAAAAAAAAAAAAAGTATCTTCAAGAAGGAACCCGACGTCCATATGCCAACACCATCACGAAATCCTTGGCTGATGAACCGATTGTGGCAGATACTCTTTCAGGAGTAGTCATTTGAAGCCACAAATCAACTAAGTTATTCAGCTGTAATGTGGGGACGATTGATTTCCCCATGCATCTAATTTCAACCTGCATATCAATCAACAAACAATCAGCAGAATGTACGTAAAATTGGAAGTTACAACTACAGATTGTCTACCATCTAATCGTTCGTGCTTTGCAGAATAGCTTTGATATTTAAAGGCAGAGGGCAACAGGAATATGACTGAAAGATGGGTAGGGGGTTTCAAAAAAAATGCTAAACCTCGTCAATAAACTCATGACCACAAAGAACCTATTCATTTGGCCATTGCATTTTTATTTTTATTTTTGGTTAGACCACGAAGTGTCTAAAGCCCATATCATACTAACCAACATGGTTGGCGTAATGGTTCAGCACCTTGTCCCTTAAGCATGAGGTTGGGGGTTCGATCCTCACCCATGTGAATGGAGCAAACCATTTGGCCAGGTCCCTTAAGCATGAGGTTGGGGGTTCGATCCTCACCCATGTGAATGGAGCAAACCATTTGGCCAGTCCCCTACCACTTAGGGTGCTGACAGTAGGGACGGGGGATTAGTCTTCTGGCTATCGGCCGGAGGGATACCTTTGGGCAACCAAAAAAAAAAAGTCCATACCATACTTAGACTAATCCCGTTCGCACAGGGCCGGCCCAATTAAGGGGCAAAGTACTTGCCATACAAGAGATGGTTTTGAACTCCTGACCTCTCTTAAGAGATAAGAGTGCACAACCACTCACGCCAACCAAGCTAGTTACCATTGCATTTGCTTTTAAATAATATACTTCTGAAAATAGTGTTCCAAGTTCCAGTGATACAAATCAATTTTCATTCAAAATCTAACTAAATGCAACAATAAGTCTGACTAGTCATTTGATTATTGCATTCACTTCGGCAAAAACATATCTGATAATAGACCTGTTAAAGCTAAGTGATGCAATCAATGTTCATTTAAACTTTAACCAAATGCAATTACGTCTGATTGCTTAAAAAGATTAGCAGAACCAGTTGGGAAAAGGATTAGTTACTTACCTCATCCTCACTCTTCAGATCCAACTTCCTTATCAGGTACTTTTGGATGAATGAAACTGGAATGCTCCCATCCCTGCCACAAAAATGAAACAAGTATAAAACCACGCTCTCTACTATGTTCAAATCAGTGGCTCCCCCAGTAGCCCCCGCATATAATACATGGCTACATAAATAGAACCCTCAGAGAATAACAATGATGGTACATTCCAAATACATGGATACTAATTTATGAATGTCTTCATCAAGAAAATGCCAGGTGGGAGCTTATACACCAAAGCAGAATTAAATCAATGGTGTAGTATCACATCAGAAATGAAACTAAAAGATTTCCTGCTGCAGGCAGGGGGAGGGGGGGAGGGGATTTTACTCCATTTTAAGAAATGAAGATGCAAGAAAACAAAGAGAAACAAGAATTAAAAGCACATAATGCTTCATTCCTCATGCTTCAGCTTTGCAAAATTCCATCTTATAAGAGAACATGTGTTTTATTATGGATTCAAACTTCAAGCGATCAAAAAATGTTTCATGGTTTTACAGCTTTAAACTGCAGAGGCAACTTCAACACTAATAAACATACACTGATCCTTATGATCTTTTCTATGTGTTGGCTGACTGAATGGATCATAGAAGGTGCGAATAGTGCTTCCCCTACTCTGTCCACTTCTATCCTTTGGTAGCATGAAATTTCCCAGATAATGATACATTAGGAATAAGAGAAGAGATATAAGTGAGAATGGATCTAGAGCACTCACTTTATTCTTAAGTAGCTTGCAGAAATCTGGGGCAAGGGTGCTTCTCCTTCCCTGAACCAATGACATGGAGAATTAGACACCAACGAAAGAAGAAATAAAATACATTAATAAATACATTTTTTTCTTTCCAAATAAATAAATCTACAGAATCAGAGAGGTAAAAGTAGATTCTCACTGGTTTGCAGAGGCCACTAGCGAGAACCAAATTGGAGTACTCCTTTCACATATAGGAGTTGCTGCATCAAGCACATCTTGTGGTGAAACATTGAAGTCCCCAAAATTTGATGCCTTCTTTTGAATTCTTCGTGACTTTTTAGGTTTTTCTGATTCTGGAGGAGCATGATCACTGTTATTCTTTTTGTCTTTAACATTTAATTTATGTCCATGCTCTTTGACTTTGCGGGTTTGTCCCTCATTGTCAGCTACATGTGTATGTTCTGATTTGACAGAACCTTGTGAAATAGACCTTGAAGACTTGCTCCTATTTGCAGCTTCAAACAAACAAGTTAGGGGCTTCCATAAATCAACTTTCCCTTCCCACTGTTCTGAACCATTCTCTGTTTCTTTATCAGGCTTATGATGGCTAGATGGCTCAGCATTAGAAGAGTTCTGGAGGGAAAAAAACAATGAGAAACAGAATTCCTAGACACAATGATGATGGGAGAAAAAAATAAAAAAGCAAAACCACAAGAAATCCCTATACAAGGCACTATACCAAGCATCTAAACAACAAACCTTTACCTGTCTTATATTCTGGGCGAACTTGTTCAAGGTCTCTGGTGAGCTAGAGCCATCAGGCCGATCTTCACTTGAACCTTCCTCATTCTTGATAGGCTTCTCAATTGAAAAATTGGAACCTCGTAATGATTTTCTTGCAATGGATTTTGACCGTCTTCCTGTCATACCAGTGTGGGTAGAAACTCTGGGTGTACTAACCACTAATGAAGAAAGAGATCTTTCCTTTCTCCTCACTGGTAATGAAACTGAAGGTACAATTTCAGGCGCCTTCACCTTCTGCCTCTTATAAGGGAAGATCTTTGCCCTTACATCTTGCAAACTATGATCCGCTCTGGAAACAATATAATCAACTCATGCATTAGTATTCATAAATTTTCTTGGTCAAGTTTCACTTTCTATAGTCCCAATTTGTGTTAGCTAAAACCAGAAGAACCAGAACAAACTTCATGCTTTGGAACACATGATATCAAAAGAGATCTTTTTTTCTTTTATGGGAATTGGGGTAATCATAGTAGATTATCAAAACAGCTCAGTCATTCACTACAACTAACATTTCTGGATTTTTTTTTTTTTAAAGTGAAAGAATGTCTTAAAAGGTATTCGCAGATTGGATTTTGAAGTAGGGGGTTATGGGAGCGAACAGCAAGCCTACTAGCATGGCTCCCATCCAGGCTTTAGATTGCAATAATAAATAACTTATAACTAAAGAAGTACATGAAAACTATCCATTTTTGCAAACTTATATAGTTTCCAAAGAAACAGGCATAATCTGACTCATTGATTACACAGATATAGACAAAGAATATCAACATTTCCTTGTTGCAGGGAACTAGATGCAAAGTACCTTAAACCCCCAGAACTATTCCAGAATTTTCTCGAATGCATCAATACAAACTAAAAAAAAAAAAAAAGATAAGAGCTACAAATTCCATTGATTTCTTTCATTTTCTTAGTTCAACGTGATACTGTAGCAGATGAGAAATTGAAAAATCTCAGAGCATGGCATTTTCACTGAGTACTTGAACATGCATTTTCATGTTAAGAACGTAAAAGGAAGAGGTAGCTAAAGCTGTAGAAACAGTCTGACCTCAGTTTCTCAACCGGGACACAACCTAAATCAATGTTGCATATTGGGCAACAATCCGTCTCCTCATCTTGAAGCTTCTTATAAATGCACTTCCTGCAAACTATGCGAAGTTCCAAACAGACTGTCAACAAAAGGTTTCCAATTTCCATCCACAAGATATTCAAGTTGGCAAAACAAAGTCATAAACATCTATTTACTAAAACAAAAATGACAATCATAAATCATTAAACTCAGGTACATCTTTAAGCATAGAAAACTAAGACAAAATAGCAATGGAGCATGATTTCTATAATACAGTATAACAAAGTGACTTAGATTTCAAAATCATCAGAATCTAATTTTTAAAAAATATAGAAAGCTAGTATATTCTTGGCCAAACTTCTATATCACTAATTTAGCTTCCAACATGTATAACCATCAAAACAACTACATAAAATGTACACAGAATGGCAGAAACACAAACACATAAACCAAAAAAAAAAAAGAATGCTTCTAAAAAGTTCAGGTTGTAAATTTCCCAGCTAGACATTCTTCTATGAAGCATTTATCGCATTAATCAGATTGATGAAGCAGATAACTCATATCATAAAGTTTAAAAAAATAAAAATAAATTCCTGACCTCAGTCATTCTGAGAACTAGAACGCAATCAAAGCATAACCAGATTAGAAAAGCAAAATAGAGCAACCAGTATCATAACCAACAAAAAATCGACGCAATTCGACACAGGAATACACAGCGAAGGAAATCTGAAGCACAAGAGAGATCGAGCGAGAGAAACTCACACGTATGGAGGCATTCGGAGATAGTGGTGGCATCTCTGAAGAGCTTACGGCAAAGAGGGCATGTCATGCATGCCGCAATCGTGTCTCTCCTCATCGTCACCACTAGATTCGACATATCCTCTTCTCCAATAACCTCTAGCAGCGGCCCTCTTTTGTGGAAGCCGGACGTACTCAGGCGGTGCATGTTAGAGACATGGGATTTACGTCCACTCCCCTCCCTTCATCTGCATTAAACTCAAACACAGAAGCCGCAATTACCGCGCAATACGAATAGATTCGAGCTCGTATCGATGATGAGAAGCTCGGAATCTGTTTGATTTGGGAAGAACAACGCGAGTTGATGATTGGTGGAGGGGAAAGTCGAAGATGATCTCTGAGGCGAGGGAGGGGTTTGGGAGTCGAAATCGAGAGAAGTTAATGTTCAAACTGGCATGAACGGAAATACAGATTCTTAGCTTTATACATTTCTTTTCCTCTCTTTTTTTTTTTTTTTCATATCAATTAATCAATTAATATAATAATATAGCCTCTATTTATTTCTTTATTTTTGCTAAAATTCTCAACTCACCGAGTCGCCCAGGCAGAATGCGTTTGAAGCGCTTTTTCGTTGGTCGTACAACGTGATTCATACCTAAATTTAACAATTTATGTTGAAATATTTATGATTTAACTAAAGTTCGTTTGATTTGCAAAAATATTTTTAAAGTAATGGATAACTACAAAAGAATGTGTGTAATGTTATTACAATGGATTGAATAATATCTTAACAAGATAATTACGAGAATATTTATACTAACAAGTCTCCTAACTGTTCCCTTAAACAAAAGAAGTTGGTTGCAACTTGCAACAACTTAGGACCACGCCGGGCCTCAGCTCGCGGTCAGGTTCCCGCCTGATGCCGTTGACCGAGGCCCAAGCCGTCATGGAATAATATAATATTCCATATATTATTATTACTAGTAATTCACTCGCGCGATGCACGAGAAAAAACTATGTTATTATAAATATAAATAAAAAATAGAAAAATTAAAATATTTTAAATTATTTAATATAATAATATTTTTGAGCTTCCATTGGTCAATAATTTATTTTTTTTATAGAATACAAAATTACAATTAAAATTAAAATTATAATTATAATTATAATTCAAATAAACTTATAGAGAGAATTTACATAATTACATTGATTTATTCTTAATTGTATTTCATCTATATTATAATTTTTACAATACGAATAATAACTAAGATAATTACATTTGGAAAGCAAATTTTAAATTTTGTATGTGTAAATTTAAACTCTAATTGAACACATTTTTTATATGATTATATAATATATAGCTATTTTATTTTTCAAAAGTATATTTTTTATATGATTATATAATATATAGCTATTTTATTTTTTAAATGTTGTGCTTTTCTTTTTATATATTTAATAAAGGATGTTGTGACATTAATTGTAACATTAATTATTTCCCAAATCATATAGCTTTATTATTTAAAGGATAAAGGATAAAGGATTATTATTATTATTATTATTATTATTATTATTATTATTATTTATAATTATAATAATGATATATTAGTTAGAAGAAGAAGAAGAAGTCATGGCAAAAACATAAGAAGATTTGAGGGAAGTTGCAACTACTCGGAAATGACCTTATATAAAGGCTCATAGATCAAGCAAAAAGGGGAGGTTCATTCAATCCTAAATAACCTCTATTTTAAGTATTCTTCTTCTGCTTTCAATCTATGGTCATGGTGCCTATGTACATGTACATACAACATATATAGTGAATTTCGGCTTGGCTTAGCAAAGGGCCCGTGATTTTCAGCGTTTTGGTTTCCACGTTAAACATCATATTTTACTTATTATTTCTTCTTCTTAACACTTTATTTTATTCAACTTCATCCAACTCAAAAAGGCTCGTGATTTTTTCCTTGCAGGTTTTCACGTAAAAGATTTTGTTTTGTTACTCTGTTTCTACTATTCAATTCACATCAACATTGTAGGTTGACACCGGGTCAATTTTATGCTATCAATATATATATTATATTTATATTTTTTTTGTAGATAACTTTATAATTCCTGAACATTATGCCGAATAAGATATTACATGATTGTTTAAAGGTGGATGTTGTTATAGACTTTGGTAATGTATTATGGTTATATATATTGACATAATGATGGATGTGTTTGTCAAACTTAATTTGTATTTTGTATATTAAACACTTAGATAATCTAAGTTAGATTGCTATATTGTGAATTGGAAATAGAACAAATTGCACTTTTGGTCCTGTGACTATTAGGGTGTTGGTAATTTTTAAAACTTTCAATTTAGTCCTTTAACTATGCAATTGTTAGCAGATTTGGTCCTGCCGGCCAAATAGCCGGCTAATTTTCACCCGAAAAACGTAATTGGGTTCGAATTGTTTTTTGATGAGGGTAAAACGATCATTCCAAGGGTGGGGTGGGGGGGGGGGGGGGAATTCCACCATTGCTTTGACAGTTCACCACAGTGTTCAGTTCTCCAATGGCCTATTCTGATGATGCTGTATCTTCTTGTTCATTTCCTTGATAAGCCCAGTTCAGTTCTCCCTGCACCATAAATTCAGTGTTTTCATCACCTAAAACAGTCTCTTTTTCTTAATAAAAACAAGCTTTTAGCTTGTAGAAGTATACTGCAGAAGCAGGGTTGGTAAGGAATGAGAAATCTGAAAAGCCGCCATTGTCTTCCTGCTTCAGAGCTTCCCGGGTTACGTTGGCAGTGGTGTTCCAGTTGAAAGCATGAGCCGGAAAAGTTCCGATCGTCGGAGAAGGCAAAAGCTGCAAGCATTCATTCATAAATAACAAATCAGTGTATACAGTCCCAGTTAGTTATCCTCCCCAATCATGAAAAAAAAAATATAGATTTCAGCTTGACTGTAAACAAGATTTGGCGAATACAATGGTAGCGGAGAGGAGAGCCGGCGAATCCAGGAGCTGGGTGGAATTTCCCCCCTTTTTTCCCTTGCAATGACCGTTTTACCCTCGTCAAAAAACAATTCCAACCCAATTACGCTTTTTCGGTGAAAATTGGCCGACAGGACCAAATATGCTAATAATTACATAGTTAAAGGACTAAATTGAGAGTTTTAAAGTTAAGTACTCAAATTATCAACACCCAAATAGTTACAGGACCAAAAGTGCAATTTGTTCATTGGAAATACGTGATGTTTGGATTTTGAAATATGAATTGACTTATTGTTTGGGGTTATTTTGGATTGAGAAATTTGAAATTGGCATTGTTGACTTATTGTTAAGATTTTGAAATTTATAATATTAGTGAAAAAAAAATAAATAATTATGTGCGCTAAAGAACTAGGGAATGTTTGAGTTCTCAAACCTAACCAAATCAAAATAAGAACCGAACAAACTCGAACTAAAATTGAAAACCAAAACCCCTCCCCTTCCCAATGAAATGAAACCCGAATTGCCCACCCTTATTTATGAACTTTCTCCTAAATGATGTAAATTTTCATCAAAATAATGTTGGTTTTCCTTAAATGATGTCATAATTTTTTTTTGCATATTTACACCTTGTATTTAAACTTTTGCATATACTTTAACAAGTTTTTTTTTTTCCCAAAATGATGCTTTTTTTTTTTTAAATAAAAAGAAACATTATTTCCCCTAAAAATTAAAATGGTGTTTTTTTTTTTCATCTAAATAATGCCATGAAAGTTCTACATATTTGCAAAAGTATCATCGCATTTAAAAAATATATAGATCTTATATGTCTACTATTTTAGAATGGACGAGTTAGATTTATTTTCATTTATCACATAATTCATTTCCTATATATTTAGTCAATTAATCCAACAAACATAAACAAGTGTAATTTAAATTTTGATGATAACAATCAAGTTAAGAAATTTAGGTCTGCAATATTTTTTTTATAGTTTTAGAAAAATTTCAATGTAAATCCAAATGGTTAGTTTTAGGAACGAATTTTACTCACTGGAAAGTAAAGATACCAAAAAGTAAACTCAATCTAAAAAGTAAACCCTATGATAGTTAAGTCTCGGAATGCTGTGAATAGGGATGACAATTCCACCCACACCCAACGAGTTACCCGCATTCCTGCCCCAATGGGTAATAAATACCCGCATAATTTGGGTAATGGGTGCAGGTGTGGGGAGAGGTACCCCTCCCCCGCGTATATATATATATATATATATATATATATATATATATATATATATATATATATGTATGTATGTATGTATGTATGTATGTATGTATGTATGTATGTATGTATGTATGTATGTATGTATGTATGTATGTATGTATGTATGTATGTATGTATTGTGTTATTATATTTAAGTCAATATCAAAGTATTATGTTATTTATTTAATTTGTTATAGATTTTTGGGTAGTAAAGAAAGATCCTAACTCACTAATATTATAGCTTCTAATTATTTATTGGTGCTAGTGACTAAGATTTTATACACTAATGTTGAAGTTGGAAGCAAATGTAATATTCAAGTTGGTAGTTATTTGGTGAAGACTTTGATGCATTAATATTATAAATTGTAGTAATAAAAATTTTATTAGATGTAAGTTTTATATTATTAATGAGACTAAGGTTACATGCAAAATCCCCACGGGTATTCCCCGCACCCGCAAAATCCCCACGGGTGCGGGTATGAGAAGGAATTTCATTACCCGCGCGGGTGCGGGTGCGGGTATGGGTATGGGGAGTAGGGTTATCCCCCGCCCCCGCCCCGCCTCATTGCCATCCCTAGCCGTGAACAATAAACTTCAAAAAGTCGCAGCCCGGAAGGTTGAAGATCAAAGAGTTCAAGATTTGAAGACTCGAAATGTCAATACCGAATAGTAGAAGACTTAAAGACGAAAAAGTTGAAAACCGAAAGGTTAATGGTAAAAAAGTGGAACGACCAACCTTGACTAGAAAGTAGTATGGGATCAAAAAGTTAAACTAACCGGAATAGTTAGTTTATACCGGAAAATAGTTGGATTGACTATTTCTAAAGTAAAATCCGAAAGGTTACTTAAGATTGAAGCGTAAAGTGTAATATACAAAAAGTACAAAATTACTTTATTGAGGGCCCATTGGAATGTTCACTAGCAGAATAGTGAACAACCCCAATCGAATAGTAATCAAGGAGAATATTGCCAAGGTATCTCAAGTTCTAGGTACACATCCCAAGAAAAATTTTCATAAAAGGCCAAAACAAAAAGCTCAGCGTTGAAAGTCAAGTTTTTAGGAGAAAAAGGTGGAAGCAACGGTGGGAAATATGACAAAAACAATCGACTACTTGAAGTTCCACTGGTCAATGCACATTGGATAAAACTATTTGAGTTTTGTTTTCCTCCAATGGACAAATTGAATATGTCTATAAATACCTCATTCAAAGCGGAATGAGGTGTTGGTCATTTTAGAGAAAATCATACAAATGTGCAAGTATTCTTTGAAGCAAATCAAGTACTGACAAGTGAGAGAGACTAAGCTAAAATTTCTACACCCAGATCAAACTTTGGCAAAGCTACGACAACTTGTAGCCAAGTCAACCGTTGGAAAAAGTGAACAATTTTTTGTGTTAAACCAATGACTCTACTGAGGACAATAGGTAGAGGATGAGTAATAAGTGTCATATTGTGAAAGATCTGAGTCTTGTGGTCGGCTTAGTGACAAGGCACAAGAGCTCATTTGTTGTACTAAGGAGAATAGTGCAACGTTCCTAAGAATTCTAGGGAAAGAGTGAAGTAGGTTGTGTTAGATCGAACAACGATAAACTCTCTTACTCTTTTTTTTATTTTTAAGCACTTAATCAAATCAAACCTAAACTTTAAAAAATACTCCCTCTGTCCCATTTTGCATGTCTTACTTTCCTTTTTAGTTTGTCCCAAAATGTTGTCCTCTTTCCAAAATTGAACATCACCATCATTCTACTTTTTCCCAAATTACCCTTATGACTTTTGCTTTTATTCCCAAAAGTGAAAAAGTGAAGGGCATAATTGGAAAATACATAACATTTACTTTAATTCCTTAAAAAGCGTGCAAAAAGTAAATGAGACAACCAATTCGGGACGGAGGGAGTAACAAAACTCATGTCATAATAAAAATCGGTACTACTTATTTTTTCGCTGCATATATTATTTTAAAATTAGTAAATTCAAGTTGTCTTGAATTTGTTAAGTTTTTCAAAAAAGTTAAAGAATCTATTCATCCCATATGTAGACTTGTTCTCATAACCAACAACATTTGATTGTGCAATCCTTTTCACAACAAGACTAGAAAAAAATAGTTTATTTTTTATTTGTTATGAGTATTACTGACTTTGTTACAATGTAATATTCGTTTATAACTACTTTCTCAACTTATTGAAGCACAAAAAGTCAGATTCAAACCCATAACCTGAATCACTTCGTGCTACTAGACCACAATGACATTTCTTATAAGGTTTTGTATTTTAAAATGTGGAAGCTACCCCGCAGGGAAAAGTATAAATACAACTCCACACATGGAAAGATACAAATTTCAAAAATGGAAAGGAAACATAACAGAAGCAAAATACAGTGATCGTCCCCTCGAATCTCTTTCCTTGCATTCTGTCACGGACATGGCGCCGCCTCTCTCTCCGTCTTCCTCGCTTTCCATTTTTGTTTTTCTCTCTAAACAAAGTAACAGAAACAATCCCTAGTCAGACACACGAACTCTGATTTTTCTTCCTTTTTCTGAGCGATCTGGATTCTGGAAACCGAATCGACGTTGTTTTGCGAATGCCGGAAAACCTACTTAGCTTCAAAGGCTTGAGGGTTTGGGTTGCCTACTAGAGTAGATGTAAATGAGGCTTTTCCATCGAAGGTCGAGGATGTTCATCCTCTCTCTTCTTCTTGTCTCCTTATTCTTCCCTATCTTCTTCCTCTCCAGCAGGCTTAAACACTTGCATTCCCTACGTGGTATTGTTCTTTTTCTTTCTTTTCCTTGAATATAAAATTGTCAATTCCCATTTCACCTCATTCGGTTGCTTGTTTTGTTTGTTGATTTGTTGCAGTGAGGGGGGAATTTTACAGAGATTTATCCATCATTGTAAGAACTTGTATGCTCTTAGTTTTTCCTATTCATGATTTTCTTTATTTTAATAAATTCTTGTTTTGTTTAGTAAGACGAAATTATCCTTAGTTAACTTATGACATCTGCTTTTTTGTTTGCATTTTTTTTTTTAAATATCCATACTTGGAAATGATTAGCCCCAAGTTGTGAAATTTTCATCAGCTCCTTGCTCCCATTACTGGGAACTGGGGTTGGGAAAAAAAAAAAAAAAGAATTATTTTCATTTTGTTCTGTGCTTCCTTCTTCTTGCCAACGTTTTAAACTGTTGTACTTGAGATCAAAGCGATTTTGGTTTTCTTGTTCAGAAACATTGGAGTAAAGCTCAAATCCTCAGGGCAATAGAGGAGGTAATCCAAATCTCTGGATATGTCTGCTTAAGATGTTTTTACTTGGGTTTTGTTTGCTTTGCTAAAAGTTGTGTGAAATGTTGGTGTAGGAAAAACGAAAAGTTTTCAAAGAAACTCCCCCTGGTTTATACAAAGATGAAGTGTTTAGGTCCAGTGATTTTGAGGAGAGCAATAGATCAATTGAGTCTGGAAACGAAGATGATGCTAGCTTGGGAGAAAGTGATTTCTACTTTTCTTTTATTGATATTATTTGTTTCTTTTATATTTCCATTGCTCACTCCATTTTCAACTTGTTTGATTTCAGGAAACATGCATGATGATGTGGAGAAAGAGAAACAACACGGTCAGCTGGAGGCATTAGCATCAGAGTCCAATAAAAAAGTATGATTTTTGTATTATTTAAATAATGCAAGTTCTGAGTACAATAAATATTTTATACCAGCATCTTGTGGTGATACTTTTTCCATTATGTTGCTAGTCTGCTGAGCAAGATTGTCATTTTCTGGTATATGTTCTCTTTCAGAACTTATGAAATTTCAGCTCCACTGCATTAACCTTCATCACAGTTTAAAGCACTGGTATATGCTGATTGCATCATTGAAATTTATTCATATTAGGGATTTTGAGTCTTTTTACTTGTGATTGACTGATGATGATTAAGACTTTATCTGCTATTGCTCACTAAAGAAAGTATTTTATTTTTTCTTGTAAAAAGTAAAACTTGGAATCATTTGAAACCGTGTAACTCAAACTGGCAGAACTAGAACTAAGATGGGCTTCGGGTTGAGTGGTCGACAATGTGATGACTATAGTTTGAAAAATATTTGCAGGACGGATTTGTATGATTGCCTGTGATTGTGATATAAGTCAGGATCAAACCTGCATTTAGTTTAAAAGCGTAAAGTCATTTCCGATGTTTGCGTGGGAAGGATAGCTCTTATTTTTCTTTTTACTATTTTTCTCTCCTTCTGTGCAGTTCGCTTTGTAACTACTGCTAGGTTACCCTTTTCTTTAGCTTTCATGACTCACACACTTAGCATTGACTTTGCTGTCTGAATCTGAAGGATTTATTTGGTTTTATTTCAGAAACTGTCTGAGCCAAAAAGTGGTCAACGCAATAGAAGTAGGTTTCTACCCCAAAGGTTAACAGAAGAGAAGGTGAAAGAGATGAAGGATCAGATAATTAGAGCAAAATCATATCTGAATTTTGTACCACCAGGTAGCAATTCTCATTTCGCGAAAGAGATGAAGATGCGAATTAGAGAGCTGGAGAGAACTGTGTTTAGAGTTACAAAGGGTTCTGATTTGTCTCGGAGGTAATATGATCCTAGTCCTCCACTTCACACTTCTAAACACTCTACTCTAATATTTACTTTTGAAGAGGAAAGGGGATAAATGATAACAACTATAGGCAGCAGAATTGGATGGATTCTATTTGGTTTGTCACTTTGTCTTTCTCCTGTAAGGCTTAAATGTCCTCATAATACATATTAGAGCCATAAACTAGTTTGCATTTTCAGAGACGTGCAGAGGATGAAAGCAATGAAGTCTACCCTATCAACAGCTCACCGAAGGTACCCTGACTGCACAGCAATGGTGAAAAAACTTCGTGCTATGACATATAATGCTGAAGAGCAGCTCCGATCACATAAGACGCAAGCTGCATTTCTCACACAGCTAACTGGACGAATCACCCCTAAAGGCCTACACTGCCTTTCCATGCAGTTGACTGATGAATATTTTGCCTTGCAACGTGAAGAGCGGGAACTCCCTAACCAACATAAGTTGCACAATCCAGATCTGTATCACTTTGCTGTCTTCTCTGATAATATTTTGGCATGTTCTGTGGTTGTCAACTCAACCATATCAACGGCTAAGGTACGTTTCCATTGTATATAGTTATATATACCCATTTTCTCTGGGTTCATCTTCTGTTCTTGAGCTCTTAATTTCATTTTTCATTTCTTTTCCACTCTTGGTGTGGATAGGTGGATGAAATGATATATTGTTTTCATATCTGATATGTTTTCATTCTACGTGTATTTTTCAATAAAAGAGCTCACAAAGTACATGCAGATAATTGTTGGAGAGTATTTCGTAATTGTATATTGCAAAAAGGGTAGCAAATGTTTTCTGTGTTTTTATGCATGGATGCGCCATATGTTCAAGGATATTCAGAACTTTGTGTTAATACTTTCATGGCAAAACTCAATATTTGATTGTACAAATTAGTGGCATAACTTAAATTTTCCAAAGATCAGGTGTTTATCTATAAATTTTGTACTAAAGATGAATTTTTAGCTACTTGGCAGGATCCTGAGAGAATTGTCTTTCATATAGTGACAGATTCTCTTAACCTTCCTGCAATGTCAATGTGGTTTTTATTGAATACTCCTGGCAAAGCTACACTTCAGATCCAGAGCATAGATGATTTTGAATGGTTGTCCACCAAATACAATGTCACTTTGCATAAGCAAGATTCTCTTGATCCAAGATATACTGTTGCATTGAATCACCTGCGGTTTTATCTGCCAGACGTATTCCCTTTCCTCGACAAGATTTTGCTTCTTGACCACGACGTAGTTGTGCAAAGGGATCTGACAGCACTTTGGGGAACCGACATGAATGGTAAAGTGAATGCCGCTGTTCAGACATGTGAGCCAGGTGAACCTTCATTTCGTCGGATGAGTATGTTGATAAACTTCACAGACCCGGTGATGGCAGAGAAATTTGATGACGGAACATGCACCTGGGCATTTGGAATGAATTTGTTTAATCTGCAAGAATGGAGGAGGCAAAATCTAACTGGTGTCTATCACAACTACTTGGATCTGGTATGGATCTATTACTATAACCAATCCAAATTTATCTATAAATAATCTAATATAATGCAAGTTTTTGTGTTTAGATGATGCAAACACATGCAACAGCCAACATGATATTTAATTATGGGAAAAATTACATGTTTGGTCCTTCAGTTATACCTGTGGTACAAACTTAATCCCTGAGTTATATGCGTGACCATCTTTAACCCCTAAGTTACGCACGAAGTGGCAATTTTAGTCCCTCGAAGACTATTTCTACCACCAATTTTGGTCCTTCAAGGACTAAAAAGCGTCACTCCATGTATAACTTAGGGGTCAAAGATGGTCAAACATATAACAAAGACTAAGTTTGTACCACGGGTATAACTGGTGCCCAAAAATGCAATTTTCCCATACTTTATGCTAATAGCTAGCTGTTGATGTTAATGCAGTAACTTCTTTAGTTAACCAACATGGTTGGCGTGGTGGTTTAGCACCTCGTCCCTTAAGCATGAGATTGGGGGTTCCATCCTCACCCATGTGAATGGAGCAAATCATTTGGCCAGTCCCCTACCACTAAGTGTACTGACCGTTGGGACGGAGGATTAGTCTCCTGGCTATCGGTTGGAGGGATACCTTTGGGCAACAAAAAAAAAGGAACTTTTTTAGTTGATAGCAATGTATTTGTAGACTATTATAATGGTTTTTGCTTATGGATGTAATTATGTGATGCAGGGAAGTAAGAGATCATTATTTAAAGCTGGTAGTTTGGCAATTGGGTGGATAACCTTCTACAAAAACACAGTGGGTGTAGACAGAAGATGGCATTTGAGTGGTTTAGGTTATGAGTCTGATGTTAGGGTAGAGGATATTGAGGAGGCAGCAGTGATACATTATGATGGAATTATGAAGCCATGGGTGGATATTGGGGTTGGCAAGTATAAGTCTTATTGGAAGAAATATTTGAACATTGACAAGCCTTATCTGCAGCACTGCAACATAAATGGTTAGTTAATTAGATATATATATATATGGAAGCTGATTTATTGTGTCCATTTCACTACTTAATAAATCTTTCAAAAAAAATGTATTGCTACAATTCTGTGTGCATTATTTTATGGACCATGGTTCACACAGCTGTGTAGATTACAAATAAAAAATACATTATTTGAGTACTAAACGTATATTATTTTGTATACTATCAAATAATATACATTCAGTATACAAATTTAGTACATTTAGTATATTAATAAAAATGTACATTGTATTTCGAGAAAGTACATTATTTGAGTATTGAAAGTACATTATTTTGTGCAATATATATTCAATACACAAATAATGTACTTTTAATATATTAAAAATGTAATTTTTTAAAAATATATTACATACTAAATGTTCACAATTTACATATTAAATGTTAACAATTCAAATTGTGAACATTCAATATGTAAATTGTAAATATTTAATATATAAATTGTGTATTTTGAACTTGAGTCCACATTAAAAGGTGAACCGGGATCCATGATACAACTGCTGCGGATAGCCGGATATTTCAAGTAGGCTAAGTATTTATCTTTATTTATAGATTATTAAATAAGCCTAACCCAAATAGTTTTAGATGAATACACATGGTTTCTTCTATTTCTTAATACAAATGAGTTTTAGATGAATACACATGGTTTCTTCTATTTCTTAATACAAATGATGTAGGGTGATTGACTTTTATATGTAAAGTACTAAACTGATTACCTTCTTCTCATTAGGATTTTCAAGAAGAATGTAATCAAGTTACCTTCTTATACCAAAAAAAAAAAAAAACTGTTTTCTCTCTCCTCATTGAATGTGCAGGTGGGAGGAGAGAGAAATACTCTTTCTTTCTTTCTTTCTTTTTTTTTTTTTTTTTTTTTTTGAGATTTACGCACGGTGAGAGAAAGAAGAGGTTGTTCCAACTACCTCTTCTCTCTTTATTTAATTTTCCTCAAAATATTTTCTCCTTCTTCTAGCATAAATACGGGAGGTAAAAGATGAAAAATGCACATCTCCTTCTTTCACCATATCATTGCTTCTTCTTCGTAGCCAAATCAAAAACAATCGAAAATTGCAGTTAGCACCGTTGCTGGAATAATCGAGGTACTTACATACTCTACGTGACTTTGTTTTTCGCAACTAATAATAATAATAATAATAATAATAACAATAATAATAGTAGTAGTAGTAGTAGTAGTAGTTATTATTATTACTTATTATTGTTGTTGTTTGATGCATGTAGTACAACCATCAGTGTAATGTAGTGTTGCTGTTTGATCCATGTAGTAGTACATATTATTATTTATTACGCGTACTGTAGTGTATTATTATTTAATAAAATAAAATTTTTAAAAAATAAATTCAAAGTAATCAAAATTGCAAGGGTTGCGTTCTAATTAAATATAGAATTAGGAAGAACATTATCAATTCTTTAATTGCTTTGAAGATCATATAATCACATATATTAAACAAATTTATGGTATTTGCAATTCTAAATAATTAATATATTAGTAAAGAAGGCAATAATTAACTTTTTAATTAAACAAAGTGAAAAGAAGGCAAAGTAATTCCCTTCTTTTGTGAGGCTTTGACGGTTAAAGCAAGAAGAATAAAAGAAGCTATTGCCATTACCTTCTTTTCAAATAGGGTTTTGAAAAGAAGGTAATGGCATTGGTACTTTACATATTTTAGTCTAGGGTTTTTAATTAACACATTTTTGTCCAAGTCATGTCAAAAGTGCACATTCTTAGCTATGTCTCAATGTGGGGTCAGACTTTTTTTTTTTTTTTTTTTAAACTCTACATCTTCAGTAGTTTGTTTGTTTTTGTTTTTTTTTTTTCTAGTTTTTTTTTTTTTTTTTTTTTTGGTTTTACAATGGACGGATGAGGTTAATCCTTTTTTTTTTTTTTTTTGTTCTAAGAGAGGAACCTATTTTTATTATGGAAAATGCTTCATTTTGACATGTCATAAATGGAGAGGGTGATCAGCATGACGAATTTTGATATCAAAATAATAATCATGAATAAAATTTGGTAGTAAAATAATAGCCGTGGATGAAAATTGGTAAGATTTAAATACATGTGGATCAAAACTATCATTTTGTTAATATTTATGGGATCAAAATTTGTATTTGCTTTATAATAAAATTAATTAATGTTAATGTACAAAAAATAAAACTAAAAAAAAAAAAAAAAACAAAATTCATACAGTTGTAACAAATTTCTTTTTCAAAAATTAAAATCAAACAACGTTGATCGTTTTACTTCTTGATCCACGCAGTTACATGGATCATGATCTACAATAAAATTTGCCATGAAACTAAGAGCCATGACTTTTGATTTGAAAGCTAACTTATCATCAAGATGCAATAAGAGCATCCTCAATAATTTGATTTACACACATTTTTAAGAGCCATGGAGGAAAAAAAAAAAGTAATAAATGAGGGTGTCACCAGTTGGCACGTGCAGTACACGTGCCTAAGCGGCTAAGCGCACCAGCTGCCATTAAAAAAAAAAAAATGATAGGACCCACATGAGGAGACAAGAATCTATCGCTCCAGCAAGAACCCAATCTTCTCTCTCATTCTCTCACTTCCACATATATCATTCAATGGGTAGAAGTGGCAATCAAATTGAAATAGATCCTCAGCAAAGAAAAAACATATACACTCAAAATTATGGTTAAATGAATCTACAGAAAAATAAGAGAGCAGTTAAACAGGTGGGTCTGTCATGAAGTTTACAAGCATGCTATCACTTTGATCATGAAGACCTTCCATCCTAGAGTCCAATATAGCAAGTTGAGATTTCACCCATGGCGGATTGCTCCAACTTTCTACCCATAATGACTCGCCAGTGGCTTTGTGCTTGAAGTCTGGGTAATTCGGGCTCCTCTGGAAACAGATATACAAAGTTCAATGTAAGATTGGGCCAATGTTACTTAACTAGGATATAATGCACATGGGTCAAACCATTCAATATAGGACTCTTAACACTACCTCTCGAGTGGACCAAACAAGAATCTAAAATTGGACTAAGGTCAGTCAACTGGGCTATAATGCACATGGGTCAAACCATAACAAAAGAATAAATGCAAGCAATTAATTGGCAAATTATGCTGTGCATCCGTATGCACCATGCATGGTGCATACGGATGCAAAAACGACGTCGTTTTAATAAAACGCGCGTCTCCCCTTAAAAAAAAAAAAATCAGGTTCGATTCCCAGCAATAACATATGAACTAAAATTCCATAATCGATGAACTATAATTCCATAATCTAATCTATGAACTAAAAATTCCAGAATGAATGAACTAAAATTCCATAATCTATAAACTAAAATTTCAGAATCGATGAACTACAATTCCATAATCGATGAACTATAATTCCATAATCAATGAACTATAATTCCATAATCTATGAACTAAAATTCCAGAATGAATGAACAATATAATGTTGTTGCTGAGAATCGAACCTGAATTTTTTTTAAAGGGGAAACGTGCGTTTTTTAATAAAACGACGTCGTTTTGGCATCCGTATGCATGGTGCATACGGATGCACAGCATAACGATTGCAATTAATTAGTCTAATCCATGGCCTTATAAACCCATATATTCTTTCTTATTTTTTCAGTGTGGGACTCTAAACAAACATTATGTGGTATAACTGCGCATTTTACACTCTAGAACAAGTAGTGCTAGAATGGGTATCAATTCTTCAAGGATAAAAGGTTGGAAATTTCAAAAATATATCATAAACACGTTACACTACAGGCACACAATCAAGTATATTTGCGTAATGATACAGAGAGATGTAAACCACATTAGCAGTGGTAATTGGTAATAACAGGTTTTTAGCACTTAGTTCAAGAAACAACATAAGCCATGTAAAGCTACTTATTGATGCACTTCCTTGATTGAAACCATTTTAATATTTTAACTAATATGGTAAAAGCCCTACCTTGTTTGTCCTATTGTCCCACCATTCCATAGGGTTAGCAAAGAAGGCTTGCCATAGCTCCTCAACGGATCCTGTACTATTTGCTGCATAATTCTTTGGCTTTGTGCCTGCAAGGGCATGTAAAGAAATCGCATTAGCTTTACAACTACTAACTATAGTAGATGCCAAATCTAGAAATGGACACGAATTGAGTAAATAACTAGTTATTGCCTTGTGTCGTGGAATTAGATTCCCCATCATACAATGTCACGGGTGAAGAGAAGTTCCTTTCAACGAAATTTAAGTTCTGAACAATCACCTGTCAAAGATGAAAACGCCATTTTGATCAAGAGATGTGACGTAAGTCCTTGAAAATAGAAATGTGAAAAAGGAAAAACCAACCTTGTAGTAAGTCTGCTGTTTTCCATCATCGCCTTCAATAGTATCTGAGACCAAGCGACCTGATACATATATTTGGGAACCTTTCTCCACATGTTGGAAAGCAACATGAGCCAATTCATCCCAAAAATTCAAATTGATCCTGAAAGTTATAGATTAAACATTTAATAGTTAACCACACAGCACGCATCCTTTTTATTTGGAAGGAGGGAGAATAAGTTCAACCTAAGTGTTAAACTTCAGCTAAAGTATGGGAATAAATATACAGAGGAAGGTCTGTTAGTTAACTTAGTTTAGAGAATGGAGCAGCATGGCAACTAAAACACAAGATTCTTCTCCATGCCAAAAGTATTTAGTCAAACAAAGAACAAGTTAGCCAATTAGGACTCCAGTGGAGAAAGATGGGCCAAGGTTGAAGACTCTTGGTTCTGATATATATTTGAAACAAACACATAGGACCCCCTTGCAATATGTATGTCCAAGTCAAACAGATAACACCCTTTTTGTTCTTTCACCATACATAGCTCTGTGACCTGGCTCTGATGCCACTTATTAGGATCAACTGATCAAGCGTTTACCACTACGCCAAAAGCTATAGGCTATAGCTAATAGCGAAGGCGCAACTTTATTTCCTTTTACAGTTATACCGCCACATTTTCTAGAGGCATGTGTTGGACTTGGTCCTTGATGTCTCCGTCTAACAATCCCCCTAGTGCTGGACTTGGCCCTTCACCGGCCTCGCCCAACAAATTGCTAGACAACAAAGGAGATGGTTGGAGTGTTGGACAGTGGAGGAATAAACCATTGAGTGGAAAGGGCTCTAAAAGCATTCATGTTCTATTTTCATGCAAAATTTAGCTTAACAATGATGAAATTCCATTTACCTAATATATAGCAGTTATGTATCTAACCACTAAAGACTTGTCATTCAAAAGAACATAAATGTCTCATGCCTTGTTTATCCTATGAATGAAGATTAAATGGAGTTGCCATTAGATTTCCTTAGAAAGATCCAATCTTTTACTCAATAATGCTTTAAAAATAATCCTGAAAGAAATAACAGCATACTTTTATCAGGGTAACAAAATTACAGGACAATAATGTGCAAAAACACAGTAGCTAAGGCCAATATTTCATTTACTCAAATTACCCAATAAACTAAAGGAAATTTGAGGATTTAAAAAAAAAAAAAAAGTAATAATAGCCGGAGAAATTTGTAAGATTTTCCCAATTTCCCTAATAATATATATTATATATTAGGGCCTTAATTAAGTGGTGCAAGTTACCTAGGCTTATTAAGTGGTCCGGTCGGACTTAATAACTAGTAGTTGTTAGTCAACCAAATTCTGTGCCTAACATAATCTTGGATTGATAAGATATAGGATGTTGGATGTTAGCACATTCAGTTACGATACTCAGACATCAATACACCATCTAGAGTTCTGAGTCAGGTATGAGGCAAAACATAGCTAGTAGTCTACCGGGCAACACAACAGAAACATCAACTATGACTGGAGATTTACATGGCTACGCTTCCGCTATCATATGAGGTCAGGTTTCTCGTATAATAAAGTTAGATTATTGTATATCTAACAAAATTAAACTACCAGGATGTTTCGTTTTGAGACTTTTTGACGGCAAGGCGGGACCAAGCTACGACCTTCCCGGAGGGAAGGTGCTTGATTTGAACCGGCTTAGCAACGACGCCAATGAGTTGCACAGAATTGCAAAGCTCCTTCTTCCATTGAATCTCCATGGGCCGCGGGTATTGTGAGGCCCCAAACCGGCCATACTCGTAAACAACGGCATTGGAGTCGCTGCTGCTGTTACTGTAGTCGTTTGAGTAGCTAATCGGGCCGCTGGAGACGAATCCTCGGCTTTTATTGAACGAAGAAGACGAAGAAAGGCTAAGAGATAAGGGTTGAAAATTGATGGACAGAGAAGAGGGGGTATGGGAATCTCTTAAAGGGCCGTTGGGAGTGAGTGTAAAGGGCTTTGACAGAAACACTGTTTTCCCAAACACCATTATCGCTCGCTCTTTGCAAAGGTTATCTGGTGAGTGTTGAAGGAGACCTGCTAAACTGCTAAATATCTTTCTGCGAGAAACGACACTTTTCTAAAGATGGGAGAATGAACAAATAAATCTTAATTGTACCCTTAAATTACAACAAAGTTTTATACGGAGTATTAGCACTTGAATGTTTTTTTAAAGTGTAATTAAAATATTTTTACTTGTAACTTACTTGCTATTGCAAATTATATTGATAATAATATGACTCTCACATATAATTTTATTTGTATACATAGGTGATAGTACGTCATGCAAAAATTAGAGCTGTCAAAACGGGCTTAACTCATCGGACTAGTCTGTTCGCGGGTTATGAATTTGATGACATGTATTTTAGCGGGCTTTTTAGTATATATATATATATATATATATATATATATATATATATATATATACATTATTTTATAAAATTATATATATAAATATATGTTAATTTATTTATTAATATTGAAAAAATGTATTAGTAAGTAGGACAATGTATAAATTATTTGTTATTGCCTTATAGATTCACATATTATGTATTTGATTATTTATTAAGACTTATTACTTTGTTATTATTGTATTCAACAAATTACAAATGCACTAATATATGTTTAAATTATTCAAATTATTTTAGTATACACTTATTAACTTTTTCATATTAATTTTTATTTAAATTTAAAACTTTTAAAATTGAGTGGGCCCGGCCAAAATCACTGGGCTGGCCTATTTTATGCATGTATTTTGACAGCTTTTTAGCCCGCTTTGTCCCGTTGGCCCGTTTTGACATCTCTAGTAAAAATCACATTAACATAGCTCATACGGAGTAATTTTTTAAAATTTATTTAAATAATGAAAAATAATTTTGAAAAAATTAAAATAGTCTACGTGGCATCTATGTATAAAATAAAATTAAAATAAAATTACTCGTGAAAGTTATGTTAACATAACTCGCAATAACAAGTATTTTATGGGTAAAAATAGTCTAATTGCACATTTTTAAGAATTAAATGGGTAATATAAAAAAATTTGTAATTTGAAAATGCTATTGACTTTTTCTAAAAGTTCGAGAGCTTATTTTATCATTCACCCTAAAAAAATTAATAGGTTTAAGAAATAGTGTCAAATTATCCTCTTAAATTTAATGAATAGTATAATTAAATCCTCTAACAAAAACAAAATAAATAAATAACCACTAACAAAACCTCCAAATCGATAACATAATGCCATTATGTCATTTTATTATCTATTCAATAGGTTACCATTGATGTAACGTTAACTAGGTTGATATGTGCAATTGTGATGCTTAAGTGGATTTTAATTATACAATTTTTATTTATTTATTGTAAAATAGTACAAGTTTTGTTGTAAAAATTTTAAAAAATTCACTAACTGTTGTCGACTACCAATGACTTTTCCATTGACAAAAAACATTTGGCAAGAGAGAGCCATGGTTGCATAGATTTGGACTTTAGTGGACCGTTTGGTTCACGGAATAGGCCGGGAATGGCATAGCATTCCCAGTAATAGGTCTATTCCTTTTGTTTGGTAACCATTTCTATTACTAGGAATAATATTTCTGGTAATAGCCTATTACCTCAAATAAGGTAATAGCTATTACTAGGGCCCCCCTGGTATTAGCCTATTACTGAACGCTCAGGAATAGATTTTAGAATCTATTTCCTTTTTTACCCCTTTCTTTAACCTAATTTTTTTATCCTATATATAAATTTATCCTATTTCACCACCGTCGTCGCCACCACCACCATCGCCGCCGCCGCCACCACCACCACCATCGCTACAACCGTCGCCGCCCCCACCACCACCGTCGCCCCCACCACTGCCACCGCCACCACCACCACTACCACCCCAGCACCACCACCGCCACCACCACCATCCCCACCATCGCCACCACCATCGTCACCGCCACCGCCACCACCGCCACCACCACCACCACCATTGCCGCCGCCGCCGCTACCACCACCGCCACCAGAACCACCACCCAGGAGCACCACCGCTACCACCACCACCACTGCCGCCACAACCGTCGCCGCCCCCACCACCACTGCCACCACAGCACCATCACCGCCTCCACCACCACCACAACCGTCGTCACCCTTACCACCACCACTGCCCCCACCACTGCCACCGCCACCACCACCACTACCACCCCAGCACCACCACCACCATCGCCACCACCACCACCGCCACCACCACCACTACCACCACAGCACCACCACCACCATCGCCACCACCACCATCACCACCGCCACCACCATCGCCACCACCACCACCACTACCACCCCAGCACCACCACAACCGTCGCCGCCCCTACCACCACCACTGCCCCCACCACTGCCACCGCCACCACCACCACTACCACCACCGCCACCACCATCGCCACCACCACCACCACCATCGCCACCATCACATATTTTTATAAGGGTATTTATGTCTTTTAAAACATATTTCATTTCTATTCCTTAAATCAACCAAACACTGTAATATAATTCCTAAAGTCTATTCCTTATGCGAACCAAACAATAGAATACAATTCTTATTATATTCCTTCCCTATTCCATTCCTTATGGAATAGCATTCCTATTACCTCAAAATTCATTCCGTGAACCAAACGTGCTGTAAATCTCTTTTGAGGTATAGATCTAAAAATGAAGGTAATTGTAGCCATTTTTGTTCCTTTGAGATGAAGATGACTACCATTGTCTTCATTCAAATGATTGGATTAAGGCTTTTTCATAGCAGCTAGATTCTTGCACTGGAGGAGTGTGTTCCGAGTAAAAGAAGTTGAAGCCTTTGAAATTCTGGAGGCTCTAAGTTGGGCTAAAGAGCTCGGGTATGACTAAATTGTGGTGGAAATGGATGCCGTGTTTGTTTATCAAGATATTATTTTCTCATCCTAAAATAGTTCGGCATGTGCCATCGTGAATGATATAAAAGAATTAGCTACGTTCACTATCTACATTTCTCATGTTAAACGGTTTGTGAGCCCATGCTATTCATACTTTAGCTAGGGTGTCGGTCTCTTTGTCTAACCAAATGGAGTCGTTTCTCAATCCTTCCTTCTTTATTCTTGATGTACTTGGATCAAATATGTCTAACTAATGAAATTCTTCTATTTTACTTTCAAAAAAATATATTGAATTTCATTTTTTGAAAGTTCATTATTTGTGTATTTTATTTAGTATATTACATTATTACTCAATAATAAATCGCCAGTACATAAATAATGAATCTTCAGTATATTAAAAACGAAAGCCGTACACAATTGGCATTATGCAGTTAAGAGAGTATATGTATAAAAAATCCACTAAATTAAAAGAAGCTACACATCAGTTCCTACCCAACCAAAATTAAACATCCCATATAAATAAATGAATGTATTTCAACTCACCAATTCACATCATCGTCAACGCTGTCGCCACCTTCATCCAATTCATCATCATCATCACCCTCTGGCTTCTGAGTCATTTTGTTCATATTCATCTCACGAACCATTTGCTCAAACATGGCTACTTTGGCCTCCAACTCATCATGTTTCGCTGCCATTCGACCATTTTCTGCTTCCATAGCGTTTAAACGCTTTTCATATGACTCCTCAATGGATCCCGGACTATTATTAGCAACATCATTCCTTTGCTTTCTGCCTGTAAACAAATTGTACTAAACTGTAAAACTGTTGAGCATATAATCATTAATGTGCAATCCAACTATCAGTTTAGGCTTTTAGTTGAGATGGAAGCACATGCTTCAATTTGGTATTAGAGCCAGACTAAAGGTCATTGGGGTTTGGGGTTGTGGATTCAACCTTTTGGGAGAAGAAGCTACTGCCTAGTGTTTCAGAATTAAACTCACCATCATGCATCCCTGCTGATGAAGAAGAGTTCCTTCCAACAAAATTCATTTGCTGAACAGTGACCTAGCAAAGATGATATAGACCATTTTAATGAAGGGATGTAAGCTAATCAAGATCACAAATCCTTGGAAATAGAAATGCCTTGAAGCAAAAAACAACCTTATAATAAGTTTGTTGTTTACCATCTTCACCTTCAAGTGCATCTAAGACCAAGCGGCCTGATACATATATTTGATCACCTTCCTTTAAATGTTGGAAAGCAATGTGAGCCAATTCGCCCCAAAACTTCAAATCGATCCTGACAGGTATAGGCTAAAACTTTTGGTATGTATTTAATACTTAACCAGAGCAAATACATCCTTTAAAATTTTGAGGGAGGAGAGAATAGGTTCAACCCATGGCTTCAACAACATAACTTTATCTAAAGGATGGCCACTGCGTGGACAACTCAACTGGTCACAAATATAAAATTTATCATAACAAACTAATGATTGAGTCCAATCTCTCAAAATATGTTGATCATATAACCATTAATGTGCAATCCAACTATGAGCTTAGCCTTTTAGTTGAAATGGAGCACATGCTTCAATTTGGTATCAGAGTCATGTCAAAGGTCATGGGTTCGAACGTCGCTTATCATAAGATAAGCGACGAGGTTGGGCAAGGGGTGGTTGAGCAGAGACAAGTGGTATCAGAGACAGAGCTAAGTCACGAGTTTGAGATAACGGTCTCAAAAATGTGATGAAACCCAGCACCCAACATCTCGAAAATGAACATGCATGCATTCTTCCCAACTCCCCACACCAATTCTACTCAAATTACCAAATAAACTAAGGGAGGGGAAATCGAGGAAATGAATTGCAGAGAGAAGTATGTACCGGCCGCTTTCTTGTTGAGACTTCTTGACGGAGAGGCGGGACCAAGCGATGACCTTCCCGGAGGCGAAGTGCCTGATTTGGACGGGCTTCGCAACGACGCCAATGAGTTGCACTGAATTGCAAAGCTCTTTCTTCCATTGGATCTCCGCGGGCCGCGGGTATGGCTTCTCCTCAACCACGGCGCCTTTGCAATTACTGCTGTCGCTGATTGGACCGCCGCCCCGGCAGAAGCAGACTAATCGTATGTGCACCCTGCTCCTGGATGGCAGCCGAAGAGATAAGGTTTGAAAATTGAGGGACAGAGAAGGGGGGATATGGGAACCAGCAGCTAAAGGAGCGTTGAGTATGAGACTATGTTTAAGCACAAACACCGCTTGCTCCAACGCCATTATCACTCTTTGCACTTTGCTTAGCTTCTCCGGTTGAAGTTCCGATCAATTCTCAGTTTCCCACTCCCAAGTCTGAATCCACTTATCTCTACTTATTATATCCTTATGGATTATGGTACAAAATGATACGGAGTATGTTTTTGTTTAAATTAAGTCTTTTTCTACTTCTTCTTTTGGACAAATATTTATTTTTGTAATAAGAGTCTATTTGGAAAGCTGGAAAATGACTTTTGAAAAATGAGTTATTTTTTAAAAAATGTTTTCTTTTCTCGCATTTGACTGCATAGCAAAAAATTATATTAGCGTGTTCGGTTCATTTTCTAAAAAATAGATAAAATAGTATAATTAAATATTTTATATAATTAATTACTTCATTTAAAATATAAAAATATTTATAATAATATTTATTTTTAAAATTAAATAATATTATTTATTTAAAAATTTAAAAAATAAAAATAAAAATAAAAAGGACGGCGGAAAAATTCTCTCTGGTTTCCACCGTACTTACTCTCTGGTTTTCGGAAACTAGAGAGCGCTACTCTCTAGTGTCTGGTCATAAACTAGAGAACACTGTTCTTTGGTGTCCGGCCAAAAATCAGAGAGCACTACTCTCTGGTGTCGGGTGCGCACCCATGTTTCATGTATATATGGCATGCCGGTCTTTCACGGAACAGTTTTCGCTGCGAAGCAAAGATCCTATCTGCGTCCAAAAACGGACTTCCCAAAAAAAAAAAAATGAAAGTCATTTTACACCAAAACAATGGTATTTTACTTTGACTAGGAAAATGTTTTCTTTTGACTTCAATTTTTCATGGATTACCAAACACTGGAAACCCGTAAAATGATTTCCAAAAGTCATTTTTCGGGTTTCCAAACACACCGTAAGTACATAATTTGATGACAATAGGTACATAAACTTAAACTTATAAGGATATTTCTTTTAAAAAAACACTTATAAGGATATAATTGTTTAAATATATATATATATATATATATATATATATATATATATATATATATATATATATATATATATATATATATATTGTTAATTTCACTTTTGGTCCTATGACTATTGTGGTGTTGTCAATTTAAGTCCACAACTTTCAAAACTAACAATTTAGTACCTTAACTATTCAATTTTTATCAATTTTAGTCAGTTTGGCAAAATTGTCGGCCAATTATTGCTGAAATCTTTTAATTCAGTGTTTAAATGGGAGCTAATTTGTGAACCATTGTTTGAATTAATACATATACAAGTGGGATGTGGATAAAAATTGGTCACAATTGGCCGATAATTTGATCGTATTGACTAAAATTGATAAAATTTGAATAGTTAGGGTACTAAATTGTTAGTTTTGAAAGTTGTGGATTCAAATTGACAATACCTCTATAATCATATGACCAAAATTGAAATTAACTCTCTCTCTCTCTCTCTCTATATATATATATATATATATATATATATATATATATATATATATATATATATATATATATATATATATATATATATATATATATTATTGTTTGGTGTAAATTACGAGGTGGTCCGAGTCTTCTTCTGTCCATTGGAACGGTCCAAGTCCACCCGACTAATCTTCGTTCGCTCCGGGAGGCACGAGAGCTGGCCCAAAGGGAATCGTCACACACACACACACACACACAATTAATCTAATTGAATTAGATAGATATCTTGTGAAGACCGAAGAGCTTGAACCTAAAAGATATAAGTGTGGTACTGTTGATAAATAAGTGTTGTGATGAGGAGAAAAAAAAAAAAAAAAAACTAAACAAATTTTATATTTAATTGTGGGTAAAATAGGAAATAGTAAACTTATACTATTCATGAGAACGCATAAATAATCTAATATTAGGAGAGCTCTGGAATCACTATTTCCCTTGCAAGGGAAATGACTCATTCTCAGGAACAATACTTCCGAAAACAAAAGGTATTACCAAATTATTATTCTATAAATTTATATATAAAAAAATATATTATATTTTAACTAAAAATATTACTCGTGATGACGTGAGACCTTCTTACATAATTTTGTTTCCATATTTATTTTATTTTGCAACGGGTATTGGATCTTACAACAAATTATACTGTGGACCGCGATCCACAATGTACTATGGTCTAGGCTTCAAAACGGTGCCGAAAAGAAACGGCACTTGATCCGCATTTTTTCGCATAAAGTAGCCTCTATTAGTATAACATTTTCAGTTTCATTTTATATACACTGCAGTTTCATTTCAACACGACTACAGTTTCATTTCGATATAACTACAGTTTCATTCGATATTATACACTCAAATATGTGAAACTGTTATTCAATTTCATTTTACATACACTACAATTTCATTACAACATAACTACAATACCATTTCGATATAACTACAGTTTTATTGAACAATATACACTCAAATATGTGAAACTGTTATGCAGTTTCATTTCAACACAACTGCAGTTTCATTCGACATTATACACTAAAATATGTGAAAGTATTATTTAGTTTCATTTTATATATACTGTAGTTTCATTACAACACAACTAAAGTATCTTTTCGATATAACTACAGTTTCATTGGGCAATATAGACTCAAATATGTGAAACTGTTATTTACATTGCAGTTTCATTTCGACACAACTAGAGTTTCATTTCAATTCAATTGCAGTTTCATTTGATAATATAAAAACAATATGTGAGACAATTTCACTTTAAATACATTATAATTTCACTTTATAATTAACACACCAAAAATACACATTCTATTAAGATATAAAGGCGGTATTTTCTTTACTTAAAGAAGCGATGTCATTTTTGGACCATGGTCCACAATAGAATTGTTGGGATCTTACTCAAGGGCTTAAGGCCCAAATGAGTGTCTGGCGCATTTAGTGCGGTTTTCGGCCTTGTGGAAGCCACAAGATAGGATACGTATTCGTAATAGTTAGATCCGGTGACCCGAATCAAAGAGCCATAGTGAGAGACCTTCTCATTTTATCTTGGCCCCAACGAGTTCCATTTCTCACCGTTGAAGAAGCTCGTACCATCGCCGGAGAACCAAAATGCTAGCTCGCCTCGCCGGCCAACGCTTGGCGGAGATCCGCCAAGCCTTCCGTGGAATACCCCAGGTCTCTCCCCATTCTCTCTCAACTTTCCTTGCATTTTTCGTTGCTCGTATTTTTTGCGATAGTTGTGCTGAATCTATCTGTTTTATATAATACAATCTGATTTTTTAAAATTACTTTTTCAGGCTTCGCGATCGTTTTCAACTGCACTCAATTATGTGAGTTTAAATTAGTATTTTTGTTAAATGCTTTGATTTTCGATATGAATTTCAGTGTTGATTGATTGGATCCAAAATTGATTTTTATTTCTTAATTTTTGGTCTGCAGCACCTTGACAGCCCTGAGAACAATTCTGACATGCCTTGGGAGTTTACCGAGGCAAACAAGAGAAAGGTGTTTAGTCTACTTCTTTGCTTTGGATTTCATTGATATATTGTTATGTATTTCATCCTTTGTAATGGTACATTATAAAAACTGGCATCTTTTCTCGGTGTGTCTGAATTTTCCACCTCCCCTGGATACAAAGTTATTAATATCACTCTAGTTTTTGGGCTTGGTATTCTTGAAAAAAAAAAGTATTGGAATACTTTGAGCTTTTGTGTGTGGGTGTGCACCCATTACTTTCTTCATTTTGATTGAATTTAAATGATATTCTTGGATAACCATTCTATACTTATTTGTTTGGTTTGATTCTGACCAAATACTCTTATCCAGGTTAAGGAAATAATATCTCACTATCCATCCAACTATAAGCAATCTGCAGTCATTCCTTTGCTTGATCTTGCACAACAGCAACATGGGGGTTGGCTTCCTGTTTCAGCAATGAATGCGGTATTTAGACATGACTATTCTGAAATGTTCAGTTCTCTATTTTATTTTTAATTCTCCCAACTGAATTTTTGCAGTGAAGATTTGTTTTGTTTTATGTGTGCGCACACGTGTGTGTGTGTGTTTTATTTATTTTTATTTTTAAATAACATTTTTGTTTAATGATAGGGGGTTTCACTTGCAGGGAAAATATTGAATGTAGTTAATGATAAGTAACCTTTGAATCTGAAGCAATTTTCCTTTGCTTTCTATTTCTTGTGAAGTTCAATTTTCTCATACTTGAATGTCGAGATTGTAACATTCTTCTTAATTATGTAAGCTTAACCTTTCTTGGGTAGTTGCCTTGTATTAATAATATAATTGGAATGTAGAATCGCAATAGGAATATATAATTGAACTATCCTATGTGTACTAATTAGTTTACAAGTGATAGATGTATAACTCTATGTTTTCATTTCATGCATCTTGAAGGGATATTTTGCATCTATCTGTCTAGGCTTTCATGGCTTATGATTTCTTTGGATGTCTTAGGTGGCTAAGATTATTGAAGTTGCTCCCATTCGTGTATACGAGGTTGCAACCTTCTACTCCATGTTCAACCGTGCAAAGGTGATTTGTTAGACCATGTGTTAGATTAGGGTATACATAGGTCATTTGTCTTCTTGCTGCTTTGCCCTGACAGGTGAAATTCTTAATCTCTTTTCAGGTTGGCAAGTACCACCTTTTGGTTTGTGGAACAACACCTTGTATGATACGTGGTTCAAGAGAGATTGAAGAGGCATTGCTGAAACACCTTGGAGTTAAGCGCAATGGTATCCCTGTTGTGCCTTTTTTGTAAAAATGTGTCAAACAGCAACCCTCCCCAATTAGTAAATGAACAAAATAAAGGTTGTGAAATTTTGATTTCCCAATGAAACATTTTGTGGTTTGCAGAAGTGACAAAAGATGGGTTATTCTCTGTTGGAGAGATGGAATGCATGGTGAGTCCCGTTTAATTAGTTGTTTTAACTTTTAAGTTCATAACCTGTTTCTTTTAGGAGTCTCAAGCTCTGACCTGCTTGCTTGTGGTAGCAATAGAACTGACAGATGTTAATAGATGATAGGAACCATTTAGCCTCTTCTATCCTAAAGACATAAGTAGAATAGGCTGTGTACCATGCCCATAACTTTTCAAAGGCAAAGAATTGTCTGAGTGTCTGTCAAGATGACAGAGATAGAAAAGCAAGATGTATAGACTGACAAGTTCTAGTTAAATCAACCTTACACCATCTAGTTGGAGATAGATGCATTACTGTCATTACTCCCTGCCGCCTCCCTCGTCATAAGCTTATATTTTGGTGTTCTCCTGTTTATCCTATATCTTCACATATTCATCTTTTACATTTCAAATATTTCTTTCGGTTCTTATCTTGGAGGGGTGAGGTGGACATTATTTTATGTGGTTTTTAATTTGGTGTTTCAATCTACTTCACTCTCTCAAGTGGAAATCATGGTATAAAAGTTCTTTTGCCCAAGTGATCAGTTGGATGTTGCTTTCTTCTTCTTCTTTTATTTATTTATTTATTTTATTTTTTAAAACTTTTTTTTTTATAATTTTATTTTTATTTTTCCTAGTGAATGTTGGGCTTGGTGTAATAGTTTGAGTGTTGCCCATCAGCTGTTAGGGCCTGAGTTCTAGCCCTGGAGAGAGTTGCAAACTTGGTCTAACCTTTCAGATACGAATCAAAAAATATTGCAGAGAAATATTTATTAATATTATGTTTTTATTGTCACATACTCACATGCAGAGTAATATTTATTAATGACAACTGATTTAAGTACCTAGCTATGACTTTTATAAGATTCTGTAGTTTTTCTTCAATTCTTCTGGGATTTTTGGCATCACAGAGTAGCTTTATATGCTAATTTTGTTAGAAAAAAAACTAGCTACCTCATGAGATTTTGCTTATCTTAAAGATTTAATGTCAAGGAATAACATGTATATTTTATTACCAAGTTTTGATTCATTACCTTGAAAGCTAGTATTATATCTATTACTCTGATCATTTGGATTGAAATTCTTGATTTCTTTGGTAGGGGTGCTGTGTAAATGCTCCAATGATTACAGTTGCTGACTACTCCAGTGGATCTGAAGGATATACTTACAACTATTATGTAAGTAAATCTTTTTTTGTGATACTTTGCATCCCAAGTCGTGTGACATGTTTTAAATTTTTGGTAGTGTCAATAAAATGTGAGACCTTCCTATTTTTTACTATAGTTTATTCTTAATCTTCATGCCAGTTTCAAGTATATTCATATAAATTGGAAGGGATTAATAGTTTTGATATCAAGTGGTCTTACATGTTTAGGATTCAAGCGGTAATTCTTTTTGGCCTTTGTTAACTGCAGGAAGATCTCACTCCTAAACGAGTTGTAGAAATTGTGGAGGCATTTAGAAGAGGCGAAAAGCCACAGGTAAGACCTAAATATGGGTATTCTGAGCCTGCTGTTCATAAATGATATCATTGTTTTCTAAATAAGCATGCTTCTAAATTCTAATGTTTCAGCGTGGCACGCAAAATCCACAACGTCAGAATTCTGGGCCAGAAGGAGGAAACACTACATTGTTAGGGGAGCCCAAGGCTCCACCATGTCGGGATCTTGATGCCTGCTGATCAAAGTCGGTTTCTTTTTTTCTGGTGTTTCTAAATTCTAATAATGCTAAATAGGATGTTGTAGGGGCATCCATCCCAATTGTGTGCTGTTGATTATCCAACGCAGCTGAAAAAAAAAAAAGATTATTTGCTTGTTCTCTTAATTCCCGTGCTGGTATGCACACATGCCCACTAGAATTTTCTTCATTGTTGAATTTATGGCTGTCTTGTTTAGCCGCATAAGCCAGTTTATGTGTACAACCTGTTGTGAAATAACTTGAAATGAGATGAGAACAAACTTTGCTTATATGATTTATGGAGGATAAAAAAGAACTTGGGCACTGTTCACATCAAATACCTCACTTTGTTCATTTTGGAATAATGATTTTACCATTCTCTTGAGTCTTGTCCAAGTATCTTATAGTTTGTGTGTGTGTGTGTGTGTATATCTTATAGTTGAAAACAAAGGTTTGTGTTGGTATTTCTCACTCTACAATAATTCTGCTTGATATTGGAGAGTTTGAAGAGCCAAGCATGATTGATTCTGGTGGGTGAAACGAAGCCTCTGTTTGGTGGAGCTTATTTTAGAATTAGATATTATAACGATTTATAATTTTTTTAATTTATTTTTATTAATTTACAAAAATGACACTATCTACTCTTCATTAATAAAAATCATAGTATTTTAGTTTATCTTTTTATAAATTTTTACACTTATTAGTTAATTCAACAATTAATTTTACCAACCACTTTAATTTCAATTAGTTAGTTTATTATCTACTAATTTTTCAATTTTTAACTAGGTTTAGCTTATTAGTTACTGACTTTTCAGTTTTCAGCTAGGCCTGCCAAATAGAACTGAAGTGTAGTGAGCTATGAATGAATTGATATCCAAAGGAATAGGATTATGCAGAGTGGGTTGGATGTTGGATTACATAACGGCCTTGTTTGGTAAAAATTTGGTTTATAGGCCAATTTTGGTTTATTTGACCACTATTAATTGTTTGATTGTTTGATTTAGTTAAAATATCAATATAAATGTTTGGTTAATTAGTTTTTTTGCAACTCTAAAAGGCTAAAATTCAAAAAGCTACTCCAAACAACTTTTTCAATCAGCTTTTTGAGAAAAGAAATTATACCAAACTGCTATTTGCTATCAGCTAACAGTTAGTTTACCAAACACTTTTCTACAATCAACTAATGTTATCAATTATTTATACCCTCTAATTAACACAATTAGCTAACAGCTATCAGCTAACAACCATTTTACCAGGCCAACAACATGTATCTATGTTGCTTGCTTCACATGACGCAAGTAAACCCAATCTGCTCATGCTCAAATCCTCTAAATTTATCCCAACAAATTTAATTTATTTTATTTCTTTTGACCAACTTTAATTCAATTACAAGTATAATTAGCATGTTAAATGGATTTTGAATTATAATTTTGAAATTTATAATTTATAATAATAGTAATGACCATGTTAAATGTATGTGTGCTTTCATGTGTGTGTGTGTTTTTTTTTTTTTGAAACATCATGTGTTTGTTAAAATGTTGATAACAATATATTACTGTTTATGTAATACTACTTAGATTGTATAATCACTTGAGTACTACATTTTTATTTTATATTACCATCTAAACATTTATAACGAAAGAAAAAAAAAACGAGCAAAATTGATTGGATGGTAACAATATCGAGGCTATTTTGAAAATTAGTATTAGTGTAGAGCGGGCTGAACGGTTACAACAAATCTTGTAGATTAAATTTATTACAAATGAACAAAATCAAATATAGAGTAACATAATTTAATGTAAAAACGTTACTTGGGAATGTGAAATTCTTGAAAATTATGAAATTAGAAATAATATAAATTGACGAAACACAACTTACCACGTGTTTAATTTATGTGATGTTTTCAATAAATACTATATATCAAATATCAAATGGTGTATTTAATTTAGAATTTAAAAGACTTTTGTTGATTGTTTTTAGAAAAAAAAAAGATTATAAAATTTTTTAAAAGTTATTTAAGAATTATTAAAGTATTATTTTAAAAATTTTCAAAAGTCTGGACTAAATACACTCTTATATTATTCAAGGGAATGTTATATGATATTTGTATTAAAAAGAATTCTATAAATTTTTTTTTTTGAAGGGAGAATTCTATAATTTATTTTATCACATATTCAAAAATTTCAAATTTTTTAAAGGATCATGCTTAAGGACAAAAATCTTTCACCAATAATCCAATATAAGTATTTTTTTAATGCGATACAGAGTCGACAAATTTGGAGTAAACAAGAATTGATTACCTCTTTATATGGTAAAAAATTGTAGATTTCGGTGGCTATGACTTTATCTCTTACAAAATAATGTGAAATAAAAAAAAATGTCATAACAATTACCAATAGGCCAATTGGAAAATTTCGCCATTAGTTATTGCGTGGACCCACGGTCCAAAAAAAATAACGTTATTTTACGTATTTTTTCACATGACTCATTGCAACATACATTTTTAATTCATAATGTACATTATTCTAAAGCATAATAGAATAATGTACATTACTCTAACTTATAAAATATATTATTTTATCTAAAAATTTTATTATTCTAATACATAAAATACATTATTATAACTCATAATATACATCATTTTAACTCATAAAATTCAACAACATCATTTTGGATACAGCCCCAAACAATAATTTGCCAAAATTCTTTCCAAAACCGGTTACGAAATTAAGTGGGCAGGGGCTTTAAAAATGCCTAATTGGCGAACCCGGATTTTGTCACATCATCCTCCTCTTCTTCATTTCCATGGCGGCCTCTCTGAAAGCTACCCACTTCCTTCAACTAAAGAATAGGCAAGCCCGCCATTCCTTCCTTACCCATTCTCCGGAAAGGCTCACTTTTCCGCGAAAACCACCCATGGCTGCTCTCACCGCCGCTCCGCTTGCCGCCGGCCTTTCTGAAACTTTCACCAGCCTCAGGCAACAAGGCAAAGTAAACCAACCATTCCTTGATTCCCCTTTTTTCTGTTTTTGTATATGATGTTTTTTCTTTTCATTATTTATGGTCCCTGGATAAGCTATCTGCTGGAGCCTTGTGAAGAAATCGTAGTCACTTAAAGATCCATCTGTTTGTTTGGTTTGCCATTGCCCATTGGGGCATCTTAGTAAATGAAGTATAATAATTAGTTAAAAGTATAAAATTTTCAAACTTGTTGTTCTGATTTGTGTTTTCAGGGAAATTTGTTAATATTTGTATGGCTATTTTGCATTGAGAATCAATGAAAGCCAAGAGATTATTACAGCATGTATTTGATTTGCTTATTTTTGTTTTTGACAACTCCAATTACATTCTATAAGGTGGCATTGATTCCATACATCACGGCGGGTGATCCAAACCTAGCAACCACTGCAGAAGCTCTTAAAATACTTGATTCTTGTGGTTCAGATATAATTGAGCTTGGAGTTCCTTATTCTGATCCACTTGCTGATGGGCCAGTTATACAGGTTTACCAATATGTTGCTATGCTTGGTACATTTCCTTTTCATTGCTTTAAGATAATCTGATTTTCCCTTTTTGTGATTCTTTTTCAGGCTGCCGCTACTCGTTCGCTGCAGGGAGGAACCAATTTTGATAAAATAATCGCAATGTTAAAGGATGTAAGAAGAATTGCTCTCACTCTCACTATATTTATCCTAAAGATTTCGATCATTATATGGAAGTCCGGCTAGCTTTTATGCATTGAAGAACAAATTTTCAAAGTCAAAGTGTTTTCTACATGGATCAAATTTACTACCTATATTCATTATTATCTGCATTGGTGATTGGCCCTATTTGGTAAAATAGTTAGCCTATCAGTCAATTTTGGCTTATTTGACCACTATTAGCTGTTTGACTTGGTTAAACAATCAATGTGAGTGTTTGATTAATTAGCTTTTTGTAACAACTTATTTTGCTCCAAAATGCTAAATCTCAAAAAGCTGCTCAAACTAGTTTTTTTCGATAAGCTTTTTGAGAAAGTTAGTTTGTATGTAATCAGCCAACAGCTAAAGCTAATTTAACAAACACTTTTCTAAAATCAGCTAATGTTATCAACTAGTCAAACCCACTAACCCAATCAGCTAACAACCATTTACCAAGCACCCCCAGTCTTGTTTCTATTATTGGCTTATCTGCTCAACTGTTCTTCATGGATTCTTAATTTTATATAATTTATTTTGCTAGGTGACGCCTCAATTATCCTGTCCGATTGCCTTGTTCACCTATTATAACCCTATACTTAAGCGTGGAGTTGAAAAGTTCATGGACACTGTAAAAGATGCCGGAGTACATGGTATATTGTTAAGCATTGCTATTTTGATCTCTATGAGTCTAGTTATGATGATTTGGCAGAGTATATTACTGTGGCAAAAGTATCATGACCTTTTATGACTCTTCTAGTTTTATTTTTCACTGATTTTTAACATTAATTCTGAACCTATAGTGCTGCTTTATCTTGCTTTGTATGATTGTTATACGACATTACCTAAATGTAAATGCATATCTTTCAGGACTTGTGGTTCCTGATGTCCCTCTTGAGGAAACTGAAATTTTGAGAAAGGAAGCTTCTAAGAAAAAGATTGAATTGGTTTGTTTCCCTTCTGAATATCTATTTCTGTGCTTCACACTTGTGAGAATTTATAGATGCAAATGTGATGTCCGAGATTTATATTTCATGTTTTGATGTCCGAGATTTATATTATTTTAGGTTTTGCTCACAACACCCACTACTCCAACAGCTCGGATGAAATCAATTGTTGAATGTTCGGAGGGATTTGTATACCTTGTAAGATTCTCTTTCAGCAATTATTTAGTTCTTTGGTTCTTTTCTTTCTCTTTGTTTGTGTGCATGCACGCTGGCATGCTTGTGCGTTCAGCAATCTAAACGTTACTCAATTCCAAATAGAGCTCTAAGTCACTAATCATCTCCAGTAATACTCACGATAAACTGGTATATTCTACTCTGATATTGTCATTGTTCATCTTTACTTGAGGGGAAAAGGATTACGTTTGATAACACATGTATGGATTTTTTATTATTATTATTATTTTTATTGGTATGCAGCAAGAAAAGCTTATTGTTTATTGTTTCAAATTATAGGTGAGCTCGGTTGGAGTTACTGGAGCTCGGGCATCTGTGAGTGGCAAGGTTGAGTCCCTTCTAAAGCAAATTAAGGAGGTTTGTTTCCAATACTTGCCACCATTAGTTATCAAAAAATTACTTATATAATTGCCTTATTATTTGTTCAACAATATCTGCACCCTTCAAATTTCTATTTTGAATTCCAGAAATTTTATTCTTTAGCACTGCTTTTAGTGCATGGGAAACAGTTTTTTAGTGCTTTACTAACCTTGGGGGTAAAACTGTGGCCTTACACTTGTCTTTCAGCCTTCATTTATTCATCTTTTGTGGCATTTGCTTTCTCGTACAAGAAAAAAGTAACCAATTCTGTGCTCAGTAGCCCTTTCCTTAAAATTTTCTATAGAAACTAGATAAAGGTAGACATTAATCAATTGGATTTTGTTCCTGTAGCCTTTTTCTTAGAGATGAGAATAGAAGGCAACGGGCAAACAAATAGCCTGTGTTTTTATTCAAGGATGATGGTAGAAAGTAGATAAAGATATTCCCCGATTGGCATATCTGGATGGACTTCAAAGTTCAAATCATTCTATTCTGATCCTTAAATCATACATTCATACTCCATCTGTCCCATTTTACCTGTCATGTTTACTATTCACTGGTCAAACCAACTCTTTCTTCTTTGCTTATTTTCTTTATTGGTTTAAATTTAATTTTTTGTGTATAATTGTATTTTTAATATAGTTTCAATTTTATATGCTAATAATACTATATTTAACAATTAACATTATGAAAAATTGAATTAAAAATAACTTCAGTCAAACCTCATTAACCAAACCAGGCACATAAAATGGACAGAGGGAGTATGATATATCCCAGTTTCTTTTCCTCATGCCCTGAACTTAATATACCGTAATTATTGAATTTTGGTCGTTTACCTGCCCGCAACCTACTGCGTAACGTTGTGAATTTCAAAACAAATCTAAGGTCATAGAGTTGTACCAATAACAGTAATTTCAAGTGTTCTCGATGACTAAAATGCTTGTATTCATCATCCTTTTGGCAATGAATTTGTGTAATGTCACAATCTATTTTATGTGGCTCCAAGTCGGGTCGAGTTCCTTAGCTCCCCTTTTTCTTGATCTTAATTGGCTGAATTAGAAATTTGTTAATAACAAACTACTTCTTCACAGGCAACATCGAAGCCAGTAGCAGTTGGTTTCGGGATATCAAAACCCGAGCATGTGAAACAGGTATGTCTCGTAATGTAATAGTTGTTGTTGAAAGGCGAAAGATGGTTGATGAGAATACGAGATGCATGTTGTGTGACAGGTGGCAGCGTGGGGAGCTGATGGGGTGATTGTCGGTAGCGCAATGGTGAGAATACTAGGTGAGGCCAAATCGCCTGAAGAAGGATTGAAAGAATTACAAGCGTTTGCAACTTCGCTAAAATCTGCACTTTCTTGATGATTTTACTTCACTGCATATTGGAATTATTATCTCAGATTTCATTTCATAGTTTGGATTGTTTTGATTGGTAATTGTTACTTTTACCCTGAAAGGATGAAGATCTATAGTTGGTACTCTCTTTGTTTCTTCCTTGACAAATGACTTTGGTTCTCTCATTGCAGAAAGTTAAAAATTTAGCCTCTCAGCTCAGATTTGATAATGCTATGATTATGAAATGTGATTATTGATTGTTAACCTGTGATCTTAATAGCAGCATCACATCATTAGAGAGGAGATGAACTCACTTTCCCAATTCACTGAGAACCCTTTATTATCCAAATCCCTTCACCAAAGAGTTCCAGCCAGGATAGGAATGGTGAATTGGTGAATGGTAATATTCCTAATAATATAGGGGAGGGAGAATGAATTCTAGTATGCATAGAATACAGAGTCCTAATATGCTCCATCAAGCTTGAGGTTCTCTAGAGAGAACATTTGAGCTTATCCTTTAGATCATTGAATCTTGCTGTGCTTAGTGACTTGGTGAAGATGTCTGCTAGCTGGTCTTTTGTAGAGATAAAGTTCACTTGTATTTGTTTTGATGCCAGTTTGTCACAAACAAAATGGTAGTCAATTTCAACATGTTTGGTTTTTGCATGAAACATAGGATTTGCACACAAATAGGTATCAATAAGATTGTCACACAAAAATTTTGGTGGTTTTTGCACAGTAAGACCAAACTCTTTAATTAAAACAACTAACCATGTAACTTCCGCTGAGACATCAACCATAACTTTGTATTATGCTTATGTTGAAGATCTAGCAACTGTCTTCTGTTTGCGACAAGCCCATGAAATTAGATTCTTACCAAAAAAGACAGCAAATCTCATCAAGACATCCCGCTCAATCAATGGATGCCAAGTCAGCTATGTTAGTATTTACCATCATTATGTCCCCTTCCCACTTAATATAAATAGAGCACTCTACCAAGTTTTAAGGCAATCGTTATGCCATGGAACCGTGTTCACCATGACCATTCATGGTGAACACAGTCCCAACGGTGTTAGTGCACCGTTATTTTTTTTATTTTATTTTTTTTCTTTTCTTAATTAATCGCGTGATTTTTCTTCTTCATACTTTAATTTGAGGTGAGCAATGATTTCGGACATTCATAAATTATGAATCCATGCTTGCACATTCACTTTGGACCCGTGCCTACACATTCCCGTCCGAAACCATGACTGCTGCCTGCACATTTACTTTGGGCCCGTGCCTACACATTCTCGTCCGAAACCATGACTGCTCCTTTGTAGCGCAAGCTTCTTCAACATTCATAAATTATGAATTTTCTGTTATGAGATTATGAATTTTCTGTTATGAGATTATGAATTTACAATATATTCATAATCTCATAACAGAAAATTCATAATTTAATAAATGTTTTTCTTTACAGTATATTCATAATCTCATAACAGAAAATTCATAATTTAATAAATATTTTTCTTTTATGCGATTATGAATTTTCTGTTATGAGATTATGAATTTATAGTACATTCATAATCTCATAACAGAAAATTCATAATCTGACCAAACGCGTGCCGGTTAACACCACATCCGTGATTTTATTTTTTATTTTTTATTTTTTTTATTTTTTTTTTACGTAAAAACGGTGTCGTTTGGACCCGTGTTCACCATTCATGGTGAACACGTTTCCAGGGCATAATTAGCGGTTTTAAGGGGGGCTTCTACTCCCAACCTATACAACGTTAATCAGAGCCTTCTGGCCTAGTGTCGTCAGACGGTGGGCTTGCTGAGCTTGTTATCTTCCCGACCTCATCACTCACCTCTTAGTTAGCTTCTTGACCACAGAAGACTCACCGTCTGTTAGCTTCTTGACCTCATTACTCCCTCTTATATTTAATTTGTATTTCACTTGTACTAAATAGAGTATGTTGGAACACGTACTATTCAACAAAAATAGTGAATTTTGACCTAGCTCAACCTACAAAGACTCGTGATTTTTTCATTTTGAGTTTCCACGTAACATATCTTGTCTCATTATTACTTTCTTATTATTCATTCTTGATATGTAGATGATCCAAGTTTGAGGTATATATGTTTTAGTTTTACTAGCTGATTAATTAATTGATAACTTATTGTGTGTTTTTATTATTTATTTACACTTTTAGGATGTAAATTTGCTAGGTTAAATGATTAGCTTTGAAGTTTACAAAAAATTAATAATGATTCTTTATTTCGCAATATTGGTTTTCGTCTCCATCCCTTAAATTTTGAAATATATATTCAATTAATCAGTAAAATGAATATCAATTTATTATAAAAAAGTTGTTCTTGACCAAACAATTGACAACTTTTTATTTGATAAAAAGAGTAACAATGCATATTTAAATTAATGTAAATATTTTTTAGGGAAAAAGTACACTTTTCGTCCCTAAGTTATAGGGTAATTGTAGAATTTGTCCATAATTGTTGGTCGTGCTCACTTTTTGTCCCTAAGCTATAATTGACGTCGCAAATTTCATCCTTTTGATAACAGGTTGTGCTCACTCTTCGTCCCTAAGCTATACTCACATTTTAAATTTTGTCTCTAATGTTTTGTTAGTAAAGGAACGAAATTTGCAATATCAATTACAGAGTATATCTTCGGGATGAAAAGTGAGAACGATCAACAATTAAAGACGAATTCTACAATTACCCTATAACTTAGTGATAAAAATTGTAATTTTTCGTATTTTTTACTATTGTATATATTGTGTTATGTGAAAAATTCGAAAATAATGTTTGACAGCCTTATCAATCGTACTCATATAATTATATATTTCATATATTATTGCACATAGTATAAATAAAATAATTATCAATAATAATCAGCACAATCATGTATGGTATATATAATGATATTGTATGATTGGTACTAATGTCGACTAACATGATAAATTATTTTTACAAATTTGACCCCTCTAATCCATACTTTTTGGCTCCGCCCTTAGTTAATAGTAGATGAATCAAATTTATGTACCTAAAGTAATGACTTTATTTACTTGTAGAATTATATTAATTTTTCTTTTGAAATCAATATAAATATTATTTAAAAGAAAAAAATATTAAAGAGGTAAAAATTTTCAGATATAACTATTGCAAACATTTATGGATCAAAGAAGTTTCAATGCTTCAAATCGGGTCACAATATTTATGGGCTAATGAGGAGTTGGTCAGTTGGTGGATCCAATACAAAAAAGCAATGTCAGAAGTGGGATTTGAACCCACGCCCTCTCACGAGGACCAGAACTTGAGTCTGGCGCCTTAGACCACTCGGCCATCCTGACTTCATTGTTCATAAGCTGTCTATGTTATTTGTTAAATTTATTTGAAAAGCAGAGGAATTTATCTCTACAGTTGAGATGGCTTTGATACATCACAACGCTATCCAATGACCTTTCCTATTCTTAAGGAAGGGAAGTGTCCCACACTCTCTAAAAGATTATTTTCTTTTGTGTGCGTGTTTTTCTTTTTTTTTTTTTTTTTTTTTTTGTCACACGCTAATTTATGTTGTTTTGTAAATTTATAAAATAAAAAAATATTTTAATAGTTTAATTGTATTTAATTATTTTTATATTTTAAAATATGTTATAACATATTGATTAAAGATTAAACATTATATATTGTTAAAAGGGCATAAAGAGTAAAAATGCAAGGAAATCTCACATAATCTTAGACAAGTAAAAAAATCACATTTCTTCAAAAATAGCTCAAAATTCTATGTGGAAGGTAAGTCACATTCCTTGAGAAAACAATATAACTTGAACTAAACATGAGAATCTAACATTCCAAAACACATATTATCTTGGTTATCTTGCATACCTTGAACCAAACACCCCTTAGTACATACCAGATAAGCAATATGATCAGATTCTACTGGGAATAATTGAAAAAATGTCACAATTGCACATATTTTGCTTATTTGATGGATTAATTTCACACCTTATAACTTCAATGGCCTCATTATACAAGATCAAAAAATCCAGTGGCATATTTGATGCTTTTTTTTTTAGTAACTCTTGTTACAATGTAATATCTGTCCACACATACTTTCTCAACCTATTGAAGTACAAAGAGTCAATACCCACTGAGATTTGACACTTTTTTCTAAAAAGTAAGAAATATTAATAGTTGAGAAATGAGTCTAACTATAACCTTGAAGATAACACTATAAAGTTATGGAAAAAAAAAAGGATAAATGTTAAAGTAGAAACTGCACCAAATCGTGGTTTATTCAACAAAATTGATGAGGTGAAGCTGTCCCCTATCATACAATACAAATACACAAATTAAAGGAGGAATTAATCAATCAAATGTGATTTCACCACCTATTAGACCGAGTAAAAGCGAGGAGAAATTTATAGAAATAAGATGATTTCCACTTGTTACAACAAAGCAAAGCAATTCATCTATCTTGTTGAGTTTCTTGAATCATCATCAAGAAGAAGGGGGGGTAGGGTAGGGTATATGACCTGCCTGCGCGCTTTCACAATAAAATACAAAGCTCGCTAGGGTAGGGTTGGGTTGCGTTGATCGTCTTATTCTGATCTCCGCCTATCTTTCGGGTTGCTGTACACGGGTAACAGCCACCGAGCCCCATTTTTCCTCCTCCCGTAGCATCGCCAATATACCACAAATAGTGCCGCCATCACGCAAATGGGAATTGCCCATCTGTACCAACCAACAAGTTACTACAACTAACAAAATTCTAACAAGAATCATTTAGAAAACGACAAGAGAATAATAATAATAGGAGGATAGAAAGTAGTTATGAACAGATACTACATTGTAATAGAGTCAGTAGCATCCAAAAAAAATAGGAGGATAGAAAGTAGTTATGAACAGATACTACATTGTAATAGAGTCAGTAGCATTCAAAAAAATAGGAGGATAGAAAGTAGTTATGAACAGATACTACATTGTAATAGAGTCAGTAGCATTCAAAAAAATAGGAGGATAGAAATCATTTCACCTGTCTAAATCAAGGATTGGACTATAGACGACAGTTTCCCATGTAGTCACGATTACATGCCATACGGGGTTGTAATACAGCGACTCCGCTGACCAAAACATTCTTGTGTACGTCTCTAAGAAAATAAAAAGTACCCACGCTCCA